GAGGGAGAATGAGTTGTTGTGACCTGCAGTGTGGTGAGTGTGTGAGTTAGTGAGAGGGAGAGTGAGTGTGTTGTTGTGACCTGCAGTGTGGTGAGTGTGTGAATTAGTGAGAGGGAGAGTGAGTGTGTTGTTGTGACCTGCAGTGTGGTGTGTGTGAGTTAGCGAGAGGGAGAGTGAGTGTGTTGTTGTGACCTGCAGTGTGGTGAGTGTGTGAGTTAGTGAGAGGGAGAGTGAGTTGTTGTGACCTGCAGTGTGGTGAGTGTGTGAGTTAGTGAGAGGGAGAGTGAGTGTGTTGTTGTGACCTGCAGTGTGGTGAGTGTGTGAGTTAGCGAGAGGGAGAGTGAGTGTGTTGTTGTGACCTGCAGTGTGGTGAGTGTGTGAGTTAGTGAGAAGGAGAGTGAGTTGTTGTGACCTGCAGTGTGGTGAGTGTGTGAGTTAGTGAGAGGGAGAGTGAGTGTGTTGTTGTGACCTGCAGTGTGGTGAGTGTGTGAGTTAGTGAGAGGGAGAGTGAGTGTGTTGTTGTGACCTGCAGTGTGGTGAGTGTGTGAGTTAGCGAGAGGGAGAGTGAGTGTGTTGTTGTGACCTGCAGTGTGGTGAGTGTGTGAGTTAGTGAGAGGGAGAGTGAGTGTGTTGTTGTGACCTGCAGTGTGGTGAGTGTGTGAGTTAGTGAGAGGGAGAGTGAGTGTGTTGTTGTGACCTGCAGTGTGGTGAGTGTGTGAGTTAGCGAGAGGGAGAGTGAGTGTGTTGTTGTGACCTGCAGTATGGTGAGTGTGTGAGTTAGTGAGAGGGAGAGTGAGTGTGTTGTTGTGACCTGCAGTGTGGTGAGTGTGTGAGTTAGTGAGAGGGAGAGTGTGTGTGTTGTTGTGACCTGCAGTGTGGTGAGTGTGTGAGTTAGTGAGAGGGAGAGTGTGTGTGTTGTTGTGACCTGCAGTGTGGTGAGTGTGTGAGTTAGTGAGAGGGAGAGTGTGTGTGTTGTTGTGACCTGCAGTGTGGTGAGTGTGTGAGTTAGCGAGAGGGAGAGTGAGTGTGTTGTTGTGACCTGCAGTGTGGTGAGTGTGTGAGTTAGTGAGAAGGTGAGTGAGTTGTTGTGACCTGCAGTGTGGTGAGTGTGTGAGTTAGCGAGAGGGAGAGTGAGTGTGTTGTTGTGACCTGCAGTGTGGTGAGTGTGTGAGTTAGTGAGAGGGAGAGTGTGTGTGTTTGTTGTGACCTCGCAGTGTGGTGAGTGTGTGAGTTAGCGAGAGGGAGATGGAGTGTGTTGTTGTGACCTGCAGTGTGGTGAGTGTGTGAGTTAGCGAGAGGGGAGAGTGAGTGTGTTGTTGTGAACCTGCCAGTGTGGTGAGTGTGTGAGTTAGTGAGAGGAGTGAGTGAGTTGTTGTGACCTGCAGTGTGGTGAGTGTGTGAGTTAGTGAGAAGGTGAGTGTGTTGTTGTGACCTGCAGTGTGGTGAGTGTGTGAGTTAGTGAGAGGGAGAGTGAGTGTGTTGTTGTGACCTGCAGTGTGGTGAGTGTGTGAGTTAGCGAGAGGGAGAGTGAGTGTGTTGTTGTGACCTGCAGTGTGGTGAGTGTGTGAGTTAGTGAGAGGGAGAGTGAGTGTGTTGTTGTGACCTGCAGTGTGGTGAGTGTGTGAGTTAGTGAGAGGGAGAGTGAGTGTGTTGTTGTGACCTGCAGTGTGGTGAGTGTGTGAGTTAGCGAGAGGGAGAGTGAGGTGTTGTTGTGACCTGCAGTATGGTGAGTGTGTGAGTTAGTGAGAGGGAGAGTGAGTGTGTTGTTGTGACCTGCAGTGTGGTGAGTGTGTGAGTTAGTGAGAGGGAGAGTGTGTGTGTTGTTGTGACCTGCAGTGTGGTGAGTGTGTGAGTTAGTGAGAGGGAGAGTGTGTGTGTTGTTGTGACCTGCAGTGTGGTGAGTGTGTGAGTTAGTGAGAGGGAGAGTGTGTGTGTTGTTGTGACCTGCAGTGTGGTGAGTGTGTGAGTTAGCGAGAGGGAGAGTGAGTGTGTTGTTGTGACCTGCAGTGTGGTGAGTGTGTGAGTTAGTGAGAAGGTGAGTGAGTTGTTGTGACCTGCAGTGTGGTGAGTGTGTGAGTTAGCGAGAGGGAGAGTGAGTGTGTTGTTGTGACCTGCAGTGTGGTGAGTGTGTGAGTTAGTGAGAGGGAGAGTGTGTGTGTTGTTGTGACCTGCAGTGTGGTGAGTGTGTGAGTTAGCGAGAGGGAGAGTGAGTGTGTTGTTGTGACCTGCAGTGTGGTGAGTGTGTGAGTTAGCGAGAGGGAGAGTGAGTGTGTTGTTGTGACCTGCAGTGTGGTGAGTGTGTGAGTTAGTGAGAAGGTGAGTGAGTTGTTGTGACCTGCAGTGTGGTGAGTGTGTGAGTTAGTGAGAAGGTGAGTGTGTTGTTGTGACCTGCAGTGTGGTGAGTGTGTGAGTTAGTGAGAGGGAGAGTGAGTGAGTTGTTGTGACCTGCAGTGTGGTGAGTGTGTGAGTTAGCGAGAGGGAGAGTGTGTGTGTTGTTGTGACCTGCAGTATGGTGAGTGTGTGAGTTAGTGAGAGGGAGAGTGTGTGTGTTGTTGTGACCTGCAGTGTGGCGAGTGTGTGAGTTAGCGAGAGGGAGAGTGAGTGTGTTGTTGTGACCTGCAGTGTGGTGAGTGTGTGAGTTAGCGAGAGGGAGAGTGAGTGAGTTGTTGTGACCTGCAGTGTGGTGAGTGTGTGAGTTAGCGAGAGGGAGAGTGTGTGTGTTGTTGTGACCTGCAGTATGGTGAGTGTGTGAGTTAGTGAGAGGGAGAGTGTGTGTGTTGTTGTGACCTGCAGTGTGGCGAGTGTGTGAGTTAGCGAGAGGGAGAGTGAGTGTGTTGTTGTGACCTGCAGTGTGGTGAGTGTGTGAGTTAGCGAGAGGGAGAGTGAGTGAGTTGTTGTGACCTGCAGTGTGGTGAGTGTGTGAGTTAGCGAGAGGGAGAGTGTGTGTGTTGTTGTGACCTGCAGTATGGTGAGTGTGTGAGTTAGTGAGAGGGAGAGTGTGTGTGTTGTTGTGACCTGCAGTGTGGCGAGTGTGTGAGTTAGCGAGAGGGAGAGTGAGTGTGTTGTTGTGACCTGCAGTGTGGTGAGTGTGTGAGTTAGCGAGAGGGAGAGTGAGTGAGTTGTTGTGACCTGCAGTGTGGTGAGTGTGTGAGTTAGCGAGAGGGGTAACTATGTTAGTGAGTGAGTGGAGTGAATCGGTGAGTTCAGGATCATCGAACGTCCTGAAGTCTGCTTCATTCTGAAGTCTGCCCAGCGCAGTGCAGTCGGACACGGCAGAATCGTCACTCTCACTTTGGCAGAATGCGTGGTTTGGCAAAGCAACCGAGAGCACGCCGTCACAATGTGTGTTGTCGTACAGCAGCAGCGTTAACTTTTTCCGAGTTAAAAGACGGCTTTGACACACAAAATGAAGCCAATCGTCTTTGATGTCTCCTCTGCGTTATGCGCAGAGGTTACAATGTGTAATGGGCAGCAGAGGGCAGCACCTCCAGCCATGGTACCACAACTCCCCCGCCACCTTGCAGCATGGTGACGTATGGCCACATACGTCTCAAGGCCGAGCAATGCTCTCATCCAAACTTGTACACCATGGGTTCGTGTGACTCATCGCAGCCGCTAGGGGCCGCTATACATTCCGCAAACCAAGAAATCCGGTCTTTTGTTCACCACGGGTGCAACATAGAACATAGAACACGTTTGACGGGCGTGCAACCTCAGATGAACTTCTTTGGAACGAGGAAGGTCTTCTTCGCCCTGGACTCAAACAGGGACAAGGGAGACGACATCACGGATGTCTGGGGGGAAGCGAGCTTCAGACTATTTTTACAGAATAAGTTACACGCTTGTTCTGTTACACCGCTACGATGAAAAACACCGGTGTATTGCCAGTTTATGTTTCCACGCAGGCGTGAAATTAACTTGAAGACATCATCTTGCACAAGTGTTGTAACCTCTTCACACCTGCCCCGTGACACCTGGATGGGGAAAATAGATCGGTGACTAATCCCTCCGCGATCCATCTCATTACATGGACGCATGAGATCCTGATGACGACCGCTCAAAAATCCCATCAAAAGCTCATTTCCTTTTATGGGCAAATCCTCGCATGCATCATCCGCCTCGGAGGAGTTGACGTCCTTGGGTTTGGGCGGTAGGTGGCCACGAAGTGTCCGAGTCGAGTTCAAGTCCCCCGAATGGGGTGCGTGTTTGTATCCACGCAGGTGCACAGGGGCGTCATCGCTGAACTTATCTGCCGCGGATGTCAGCTCCTGTTCCCGTGCCTCTTTGTCACCGAACTGTCTGGCCAGAATATTTGTAGGAGGGGAATTTCCCCATCAATAGCAACGAGCACAGACAACTCCACCCCTGGGCTTAGCCGGGCTCACGTCACACACCTGGGTGACGTCATGCAACCAAGGCGCATGTGTGGAGTAAGGTAATATTAAATTAACTGCTGCCATCTATATAGACGCGCACACGGCAGAGTGGGTCCGCCTGGCTTCCGCCCGTGGGACTCGCGCCCGTCCTCCGTGCCGTGGGAGCGAGCGAGGCCCGCGATGGGGACGATGCCGGTGGTGGTGGTGGTGATGGCGGTGGTGGTGATGGGCGCGTGGTCCTTGCAGGATGTACCTACGGCGCGCTGGCCAGGTTAGTGGAGCCGAGTTGAGCCACTCAGCTTACAGCTGGAGCCACACTGGTGGAGCCAGATACAGCTGGGACATTGTGGAGACAGGCAGCTTACGGATGGAGCCACACTCAAGTGGAGTCACATACGGGTGGAGCCGCACACACGGAATGACAAGTTGAGCCACACAGATGCAGACACAGGCGAGACAAGTGGATCCACACGCACCTGGGCGCGACAGGAAACGCCCGCCATGCAGACGCGCTTACGGGTCGTGCTCCATCCACCACGCTGCGTTTTTTGCGTCAACAGCCGAGCGGAGTTAAGTCCGTAGAGTTCAAGTGGCTTTTATAGTACACGTTTGTTTGGGTTGGCGAAACGTCGTACTCGGATTGCTTGTGTTGTGGATTTGCTCTCCAACCCACCGGCGTGCTGTACGAGTAACGTATTGGCTGGCGTGTTCTGTTTACGGGATAAACCTTACCAATTGGCAGTGTCGGGTAGCGGCGGGTTTAACGACACATGTTTATTTACGCGATCTAACCCCAGAAAACTGAACTATGGATGATATTGCTCGCGAAAGTCTACTACGTGTTAAACTCAAGTGGCTTTTGTTTGAAAAAAGAACCACGTGGTTTCGGACGCGTCCGCAAGTTTTTATCGTGGTCATCTCGGAGGCAACAGATGTCATGGACGAGCCTGCTCTCTCATCATTCCAAATCACGTGGCCAACATCGGCGGGATGTCCACGCTCGGGGGAGGGCAGCCAAGTACGGGTTCAGACTGGCCAGAGGAATCGGGCTGAATGAGTGAGACCGGTGGGTCGATTCTGCTCATGGGTGGACTGCTCGTGGAAATGGTTTTGGGGACACTGATCGGTTTAGTCTGGCCTGACAAATTATAATCAGTTGGGGTCGGGTGGACAGTTTTGGTTGACACTGAGCAGGTGACTGGTCAGTGCGATGGCTGCGTGACTTATAATTCACTGTTTTTGTGTTTAGTTTGTTGTCCTTCCTTCGCACCTCCGATTAGCACGATTGGCTACGTACGGTGCGAAAGATGTTCGACATAATCCATACATTCACTGTCGGTATCAAACACACGTCTTTCCCTGGAGCAAACGCCCAGTCACCGTGCTGTGCTCAGGTTTAGGCAGGACGTGTCTCCGGTCATGCGACTTTGGCCATGGATTTGTGTCAGACTAAACCTGCTCACGCTTGCCAGGCAGTGTGCAATCACATCCTTTTGGCAATTCACCGTACAGTAGACGACGCGTGTGTGAGTGCATGTGATGCTGTGTGTAGTGGTGCAGCAATTGTGTATAGCCACACTGCACTTTGGACCCAGCGACCCGACTTCAATTCCTAGCCACGGCAAATGTGGCGAATTGTACCGTTCCTGATCCCCTCCTCGGTCGACTGAGCATCATATGAGTAGCCTGTGCAGTGTGTAAGCATCGCCACTCGGGGGACAAAGACGGCCAGGCATCGTGCTGGTCACCCACCCCCTCTTGTGCCGTGCAGACCTTCATAGGTGCTCGCTAACAGCACTTGCCCCAACAATATGTAAAGGTTATACCAGGAAACATCGTCTTTGTCTTGTCTGCTGCAGTGTCAAAGTGGGTCAGTCACACTGTTAAAATTACATGAGATGGTATTTCAACGAATTGTTTCCATAATTTCACAATCGCAGATGACTCCTGCTGTACAGGAAGTTCTGCAATAATTGCAAATCTACGAGCGAATCCGCACATTCATATCTGTGTTCTGTAAACGTGTCAATCCTTCAACACAGCGCCGTTGCCTTGCTATCATCACACATAGCAGTCGACCGTTGGGGAACAAACGTCGCGACGGATGTGACGTCTTGTTTAAACCTTTGCCAGGTTTCAACTTTGTCTCTTGTTGCTGTTGTGCAGTGGTCCCAGTCTGGCACATACTGGAGATGCGCAAAGAGCTCACGCTGCACCTGTGGCCACGCAAGGAGGCTCCGCTCGGGGACCGGTGCCAGGTGTGCAGGGTGAACCCCAACCTGAACCCCAACCTGAACTCCAACCTGACGGCGAACTGCACTTACAACTCAACCGACCTGCACATCAACCCCAGCGCCAGCATTCACGTGGGGTTCACGTGCCCCGAACCGGAGAAGCATTTTGCCATGAACGCCTCGCTCAAGTACCGTAAGAGTCTGCCACTGCTCGCCCGACACTGCAATCAGCAGCCAGTCTCGTTCCACTGTTGGATAAGAGGGCCACTCCAGGATGATGATGCTACCCCAAAACCTCCCACAGTCTTTGGGCAGCTGTAGTTGGCACTATGCGTTTTGAACCCAACAAACGGAGCTCAATTCGTAGCCACGGCAAACATCGCTGGCGATCAATATCCAAACGAGTTCTGGGATCCCCCTTAACAGACTCGTACTAAGCGCTGATTGTGAGATTAAAACACCTTGGAGAGGCCTTCATCTAGCGGTGGATTGAAAAGTTGATGCAATAAGTACCCATTCACCGACCATGACCAAACGACGGCCACCCTTCCCATTGTTCCCGTCCTCTGTCGGGGAGCCCAGTGTTCAACCCAAAGCATCTGGGCCAGGTTTCCATGCGGGTCCCCATGCTGCCCAGGACCTTCCCGCTCTCGCTGGTGGAAGTGAAGTGGAAGCTGATGCTGTCCACCAAGGGCGAGGAAGGCTCCCTGGAGATCCTATTCCCGACCCCTCGCCCCTCGACCATCAAACCGCCCAGCCAAAGGTACCGACCATATCGCACAATAGCGGCCTCCACGTGCAGCGTGGGGTCCCACTTAAAGTTTTTATTGTTCCTTTTAGTTTCATCAGTTCATGTTGTGGTAATGATGCATCGCAACTACAATGTGCATTTACTTGTATTTATATAGCGGAGGCCTTCATCCAGCGCCCTTGTAATAACGGCTTGCGATGTTACGGCACAACATTGTCGATGTTACTACGCTGGGTAAAAGCGACCGGATATCAAGTCGCTGTACAGAGACTGTACCAAAACGAGCGTTATTTTACCCAACCGTGAAACAAGAAATGTAAGAGAGCCCCCATGGCGCAAGTAGAGCGTGACTCGTGTGCGTGGTGTTGTGGTTTGCAGTAACTGCAGTGCGTGCACTCGGCAAGTTGGCTGCTCACTCACCAAGCAGAATGCCACCACACATAGACGCGAGGGCTTCTGGCGTATAGCAACGCCAACAACCCATTCTCAGAAACTGCGTGTTATTTTTATAACAATGTGGCAAGATGTGGGCACCACGGTGGCGAGATGTTAACTTCATCGCCTCGTATGTAGGAAGTCGTGGGTTCGATCCCGATCCTGATGCCTGTATATTTGGAGTTTGCGTGTTCTCTCCGTGGTCGCCTGGATTTTTCCCACGGGTCCTCCAGTTTTTTCCTCCGCGTTTAGAATCAACGTGCTTTTTAGAGTATTTGGCTGCTGCTATAAATTTCCACGTGATAAGCCACTTCGTAGAGCTATCATTTGTGACCAGGTCGCTTCTGAAAAAGAGCTGCAAAGCTCGGTGGACCTTGCCTTGTAAAATAATTTTTTTAAAAATTATTCTGAAGTGGTGGCCTCAGTCAAACTGCATTGCATGAGTGACCGTTGCCTGCTCTGAGGCTTGGCCCTCCACCACCAGGGCACGTGGCGCAATGCCGCGCAATGCCGCGCAATGCCGCGCACTGTCCACCAGGCGACGCCATCACACCACGTTGAGCAGGCTGAACAAGACCGTCACGCTGTTTTTTTTTAATTGGTAAACTTGTTTTTATTTTATTTTACCAGGTAAGGCCCACAGAGCTATTATGGCTCTTTTTCACAACCGACCTGGCCATCACAAATGATTGCTCAATGAAGTGGCTTATCGTGTGGAAATGTATAGCAGCCGAATACTCAAATACTTACGTCTGAGGTTGGGCAGAGTTAATCGACGTCACAGGTCCCTGGCTCCTTTCAGTCAGAATTATCTCTTACTCGACTCTATGATAAAAAAAAAACATGCTACAGCCGATTGACAAGTTACGTTTCTTGCGTATGTGTGTGGTGTTAATAGCTACACGAAGTTTAACTGCCCGTAATATATAGGTTGTTTTGGTTAGATCGCGTAAATATAAATGTGTCGTTAAACCCGTCGCCACCCGACACAGCCAATAAGTGAGGTTTATCATATAAACCCCAAAAAACCTCTTATGGATATTGGTCACGAAAGCCGAGGTGTTAAACCGAAGTTTAACTGTTTAACCATTGAAACAGGAGATGGATTTAAAGGCGCTGTTTAGATGTGTGTGTGAGGCAGGAGTAGAGGGAGACCAGGGATGACATGAAAGGTTGAGGTGGAAGGAGCCGCAGGGATGATGATGGATGTGACGAGTGAAAAGGCACACAATCGAAGCCCTGCCCCCTGTGGTAATCGGGTTTTCGGCTTAGAAGATGTAGTGATCCATGTTCATAACCCTATAACCTTTTTCTCAACAGGTGATTGAATATTGTGAAAGCGGTGGCTCCATGTTTTAGAGGCAGAACTTCAAAAAATCATGCATCGAGATTGGTGGGAGACACGCAGAGGCTTTTAAGTTGTTTTGTTTTCTCTATAATACCTCAATAAAAATTGAGTGTCCCATCTATGAATGGATCGGCAAGTAGTTTACCTGCACCCGTCTTGTAACAACGCAAGGCGCTGTCGTTGTGGCCGGCGTTCAACATCGCAGGCCGCCGGGCGTTGCGGGTGGCTCGGACCAGGCGGGGCCCTGCGACGAGGGGGAGCTGCACATCTTCACGAGCGACTGGGTGGCGCAAGTCATGACGGTCGGCTCCTTCTGCCAGCACGGGGCTGGCAAGGAGGGCGGCCTCCAGAAACTGCTGTCGAGAAACGGCACGTCTGTTCGGCTCCTGCTCCCGCCCAAGTCTCGTGCCAAGCGTTCACCCTATCCCTCCGCCGTGGAGTTCAGCGTGTCCTACCTGGCCCAAGAGATTCAAGGCAAGCTCAGAGTCGCTTTTGTAACGTCGCCGCGCAGGTTTTTGCGGTTGTGTTCTAGAGCCCTCGGATGGGTTATCGGGTTGCACCGCGCGTTCAACCGGAACACCACGTCGGAGACCTCGGCGAATAATCGTTGTTCAGCAAAGTACCGGCAAGTGAACTTGTTTGTCCCGCGGATGAGGTGTCGAACGTGGACCTCCACAACCCATTGTCTCGTCCACGTGGCCGCAGATCAATACATCGTGTTTTACGAGCTCGGACGCAACGGCTCGGAGGTGGTGCAGAGCGCGGGCTGGCCCCGCGGCGTGCCGGACCTCATGTCAGGCAGCTGGTTGGTGAGCACGGTGGCGGTGAAATCCAGGAGCATTCCCGACTACGCCACCAGGGTCACGTTCCTCAACGCGAGCGCGCCCAAGTGCCGGCAGGGCCACGTCACCATGGCCGTGGAGCCCTTCACTTCTGCCCAGCCGCGCCACTCCCTCAACGAGGTCGGCACGCTACACGCGCCATTAACACCGGCTGTGAGGAGCAGGTGTTCCCCTGCTCTGCACAAGCAGTGAACGCGAGGTGACGAGACTCGCAAACCTGGCGTTTGGCGGCAGCGCGGGCTTACCGTGTCCTTTCCGTGCGGCTTGTCACTTCAGGGAAAGTCGTGGCGAGAGGACGACGCATGGCCCCAGTTGGTTGGGCTCTCCAGTGACACCTTCTACCTCAACTTCTCCAACTGCAAGGTGGAATCAGGCAGTCTTCTCTTCAAGGCACTCATAGAGCCAGGCGTAAAACCACCGCCAGGTAAAGTGCACAGGCGCCCCCCGCTACGCAACGCTGTCGAACGCCAGGTCGTTAACGTGAGAATATTTGTCGGATGCAAGTCTGTGCTCGTGTCAACAGTGAGAATGTTTTCTGTCACCGACAGACTCCAAGGCGCTGATGATTGGTGGGATAGCTGGCGGCGTGGTCGCCAGCGTGCTGCTGATCGTCCTGGTGACGGTGTGCTGCGTCTGCAAGTGAGCCCCAGATTGATACCTCCCCCAAAGTTTTTGTTACAACTAAACAAGGGAGTAGAATATTATTTGGAGCGAACAGCGCTTTTTTTGTGTGAACCAGGAGGGATCGTGCAGCCTTGGCAATCTCCTGGCTCCCTGTGGGCCGAGGGGGCCACATGGACGTCGTGTTCACACAAATACGTGACGCCATCCGCGAACTCGATTTTTGCGAAAAGCGGTGAGCGGCCACTTCTCGTGGTGCTCGTGGGCCGGTCACCGCACCGTGGTCCGTGGGCCGAGGTGTAATGGCGGCCAACGCACTTGGAGGGATCTCATTCTCCTTCACGACCTCCGATAGATGTATCTACCTGTGAGCAGCACCCTGTGGTTGCATTTGAAGTTTGCCGATCCTGCAAAAAGAGAAGCACTGAACAACGCCCACAATTCTTCTTGTTCGTCTTCTAAGCCAAGTGTCATGACCACGTTGAATAGTCTACTTGGATATTTTCACCGTATTGTCCTATTCTGACACTGGCAATTTACGACTGACGCCGCCGCTCCCGCACACAGGAAGCGTAGGCGAAAGCCCCCAAATACGAACGACGCAGGAGGAGATGGAGGCTTTCGGGGGCAGTACGAAGGCTTCGTGCCACGTGGGATGCAGAGTGGACGGACGCGCAAGGCCAGCGACTCCTCCATATACGAGGTACTGCTTCAGCCCCAGCCAACCGGGGGGGTGCCATGCGAAACTCGATAACCCACATAAGTTGAGTGTCCAGCTGGAGGGGCTACTTGTTTCGTATCGTGGGGAGTTGATCGGCAACGTTCGGGGATGAAGTGTTGCCCCATCGCACACGTGGATTTTCTCTGGGTGCTCCAGTTGACTCCCACACGTATGAACTCATTGGCTGTAAAAATCCTAATACACAAGCAGCTGGTTGTTGCAGATTGTGCAGTGTTGTGACAGTTTGCATGGATAGTGCAATAGAAAAACACAGTTATTTATATCTTCACATCGAGTTTGGATAGTAAGCCAGCGGACGGATTCAGGAGCAGCATGCAAATGTGGCGGGCAGTGGCGTTACCATGTGGTCTATGGGTTGAAATTAGTGACCACAGTCATACTGCGGACGGAAATTTAATTGTTAAGGTCACTGCCACCAACCTATGCAGAATTGAAGCAATAGGCTTTGGGAAGTGTTCAAATTAACTTAGGGTGGGTTATCTAAAAAGTTCAATATATACGTGGGTTATCAAGTTTCCCAGGACACCCTTAAATTCAGAGCGCACCACCCCTCACCGTTTCTTGCGGTCACATCCTCTTGAGCAAGGGACACCCCTTCAGGGTTAACTACAAATGAAACTCAGCAAAGCTATTACGAGATAACTTGTTTATATATGAGAATAGGTTTTCCCCTTCTATATATTTTCTCTTGTTCATTTCCCTAGGTCATACCCGACGAGGCTGTCTACAGCTTCCACAAAGCGAAAGACAAGAATCCCCCGACCCCCAACGGACAGGAGCAGGTCCTCACCGAAAACGAGTTCTATCGCGCGTTCCACCACCTCTCGCCCCCGCCGCTGCCAAGCCGCAATACGCCGTCCACCTCCATGGAGATGGTGGCCTACGACCTGCCCCCCACGGACGACCACGAGGACGACCACGAGGACGACCGAGTGGAGGAGGAGGAACGCGGGCGGCAGAAGCAGCAACTACGCCCTGGGGAACCCCTGCTCAACCAAGTAGGGATTCCTAAAGCGACCGATGAAGAAGCCGTACAGAAATAGCCACCGAGTGCAGGCCGACGTCTCTCCGATGTGTGTCCAGGCTGTGCCGCGTGCTCTTCGGTAGGATGGCCAATGTTTAGCTGCACGTGGTCCCAGAGGAGCTCCCAGCAACGTGGAACAAAAACGTGAGACATCGTGTGGAGCAAAGCGTCGGACGCACACCTGCAAAAATCTAAGCGATGAGTATCTCCAGACAGGTGCTGTGCTGCTCTCCTGGAGCGCACCTTCCAGGAAGACTTTCTTTTTTACATGCCGTGTATAAGTGAAGGAGAATGTGAGACGTTCTATTCAGTTCCTGAAGGTCCCAGCACGTGGAGCAAAATGTCGCACATCGCGCGGAGCATGTGGTACAACCCGAAAACGCATCGGAGAGTTGTACAGCACAAAAATCCATCGTGGAGCCATGTGTGTCCCGTGTGTAATCTACAAGACTGTTATCATCTTGACCCAGAGTAATTTAAGGAATGTTTATTCGTTTTCCCATAGTAACAGTTGAAATAATTGGCCAAACTTTCTTAAAACCCTCCACCTCTGTCTACCCAGGAGTATAAATGGGCACACCACAGTTAGTTGATCGGGAATCCGCGTGTGGTGGGGTAAAGCGTGGGTACTGTCATCTCTTCCAAGACATCTGGCCATTGTGGAAGAGGTCACAAATATCCTCGAGAGGGACTCCATTGAGCTCCTCTCGAGGACATTCCACCAGTGGTGGAAGAAATTGCAGGGCTCTGCCTTTGTGTTTTTAATTAATACAAAAGTTTTATTTTATAATTCCAATGTATAGCAGAAACTCAAAGTAGGTATAGACAAGGTTGCTTTGTTTACAAAGTGTCGTTTTATCGTTTGAAATGTGTACATAAGAAACTGCGTTAGCAGAACAGTAATAATGCGTCAACTTTGTGTGCGAAAAACTAGCACATCGTGTGCCTTGCTGTGTACGAGTTCCTTATGGGAACTATTTAGAATGCCGTTTTGCTGCCGTGTGTGAGTTTACCCTGAATAAAAAATGTAACTTTTTCTCGGTACACCTCGTTGCTTGTAAAACACTGAAGGTCACAGTCAAACGGCCAGTGATGCGGTTTTGACGTCCGGTCTTGACCGTGCGACAGACGAATCTGGAGCCGGTTCAATTCTCGTCCAGGAAGAAGGAAACGTTCAGCAGAACATCTGCAGGGAAACCGGTGCAGAATGCAAGCGCGATTCACGGCCGATACAGCAACAGCATTGGACACACGTGGACACGATATTTCTAATCCTGGGCACGTAAACCATAACTTTCCAGTGGGCCATGGATTAAAACCAGTGTGTGAGCCAGCAGACCACGTCATGTCGAATGTCCTTATGTCTTCACGTCATAGTGTTGCACGCACAGATTTTTGTCTGTCTGGACAAGTGAACATTCACCTCCACCTATTTTCTCCCAGGTCTTTGATCTCATGTATTTGATTTCGATAATATTTCTCTTGCCTACAGCTCTCTCGACTCCATCTCGTTTATCGTTCATCTCACTAACCTGTACCGGAGCTCGGTCGGCCACCCAAATAAACTTTGAGCCACCAGATTAAAAACTGCCGTGCCAATAATAGCACAACAGATATTTACAATGCTAGCCAAACACTTGCTAGGACTCTAAAGAATAAATACAACAAAATACAACAAAACACAATAAAATACAATGTGGGCTCTCTAAAGGAGGCCTCTTCCACCAGCAGTGGTGTGAGCGACCTTTTATTGTATAAATGTGACCTCACAAGACGCTGGGGACATTGATGGGGGAAAAGAGTAAGGTGTTGAATGTAGACAAACAGGCAGGGAGTCACGCATGGACGGCTGGGGGAGGGAGTTCCAGACAATGAGGGCAGCCGAGGATATGAGCAACCTCTCATGGAGCAAAAGTTGACCGAGGGCTTCAATAGATGCGTTCATGTGAAATGACACGACTTGCCCTTTGAAATGTTTGAGATGAGATGTCCATACGTTGAACTTCTTTCGCACCGTACGTAGCCAACTGTGGTAATCGGTGGTGTGGAGGAAGAACAAACTAAACCAAAAAATCAGTTCTAAAGAAATGAGTTTGTCAATCTTGACGATTTAAAAGTGCATCGCTCCAGTGGCTTCCAAACATCAGACGAGCATTCCAGACGACCGCAGAAGCGCACCTGAAAGCACGCGATGCAGATGTGATGCAGATGTGATGCAGATGTGATGCAGATGTGATGCAGGTTCACTCGTCGCCGTATGCAAGCCACCCGAGAGGCCTCGCCGTAAAGGGCGCCAGATCAAAAACTAAAAATGTTCATGACTACTCGCCGTGAATGAAGTCGCCGTCTCGCTTGGAGGAGAGACGAGCCCAGGCCTGTGGGAGGCCCTGGATGTAGCCCAGGTCCTCCTCGCCGACCCTTTGCAGCAGCAGCCTTCGCTTCATGAACCTGACGCAGTGTCGGCGTCGTTAAGCTCCACGTGCGAAACAAATTGGTCGATCGAGAGAAATTGCAAAGTCCCGAAACCTGTAGAAATGTTGGAGCTGTGGTATCTTAAAATGGGACGTGTGCAGTGAAAACTAACGTGAAGAGTATTGTGTCTAACGATGCCTCAATTCATTGATCACACGTAAGAAATCCATCGATTATGCTTCAGCAACAAGAGAAGTCGGTTTATAGGTAGCCAACATTTATGATTCCATTAACCAACTTCTAAGTGAGGGTTAAACATATTACAGGAACCCAATGGGTGACATTAATGATAAACAGAATATAGTCAAAAATTACAGAACTCTAAAAAACTATTTTTATTTTTTTACCAGGTAAGGTCCACTGAACTATAGAGCTCTTTTTCAGCAGCAACCTGGCCACAAATGATAGCTCAACGAAGTGGCTTATCATGTGGGAATTTATAAAAGTCAAATACTCTAAACGCATGTTTCTAAATGTGGGGGGAAGAACCGGAGAAAAATCCACGTGCCCACGGAGAGAACATGCAAACTCGACATATACAGGTGAGGTAGTTAACATCTCTCCACCTTAGCACCCCTCAACAATGTGATGAGGATCAAGTTAAGCTCCAGATGTCACATTTGGAAGTAAATTATGCACCTCACAGCAAAAAAAAAAATCTATCACACAAAATTTTCACGAACATCACTGGAACAAAATAATTCACAATTAGGAAACACTCAGCACATTTTAATAGCACTGCCTTAAATTGAAAAATACATAATACTCGATGTTTATAATATTTTAAAGAAGTGTAATTGACGAACGTCTAGGGTTTTTTAATTGTGCTTGTGCACCACTGCCAACGCAGCAGTACCACCAAAAAATTTGAATTGAGGAAAGGTTTCTCTACCCATCGACCACGCATAACCAATCACATTCTGGAAGAGACTCTTAATCCTAATGTCAACTTGTAACGCGCACAGCATATGCTCACTCTGATAGAGAATGTCTCGGAGGAGTTAGGAACCACAGACAAGCGGGAATGTAGCTACGTGATGAGCCGGTGGCAACAATTACCTAAGCTCTGCAGTGCTCTAGATATTAAGGTGTCATCAGCTAATTAATCAGTGTCTACATGTGGAAGGTAACCGGTGCACCTGGAGAAAATCCACGCGTGAATTTTCTCCAGGTGCACGCGGCGACCGCGGGAGGGGAGGATACTCGAGGCGCCGCATCCGCTCCACATCCTGCAGCCACGCGAGCATGTCGGCCAGCGATGGCCGCAGGGCCGTGCGCTGCAGGCAGACGGCCAGGGCGGGCGCGTCCCTCTCGTATGTGGCCCAGCAGGTGCCGAACTCGCCGCTCAGATGGTCCCGCAACTCCTGCAGAACCTTCCTGCAGCGAAAGCGCACGCGAACGCGTGTGTTTGCGCGTGTGTGTGTGTGTCCGGCAAACACATTCCTGCGGAGGGAGCAGTAAGGAACTTTTGGTTGCTTGGTCAATGGCCAGGGTCAACGGCGGCATGGTGTATTCCGCAAATATGCCCGACTGTGAGGGCGGGCACAAGCTGGCGTGAGTAGGTTAAACGTTGAGTTTTATAAGGGCACCACGGGGTGACCAGCCCCTCCCCACCCAGCCCCACCCCTCCCACCCAGCCCCTCGCCACCCTCCCAGCCCCACCTCACCCAGCCCCTCCCTCCCCACCCTCCCCTCCCCACCCAGCCCCACCCCTCCCATTTTTGGATGCACGACAGACGGACACAATAATCCCCTGTGGGCTGGTGGAACCAGGAGGTTCCTACCAGTAAAACAACCTCCTACCACCTCCTCGTGGTGCCGGACGGCAACGCTGTGGTGGGCAGTGCCGTGGGGGGAGGGCCAATTTAGATTGACCATTCCCCTCATGGCGTTTGTAACCACCACAGCAGCTAAATGGGGGCTCTGGACGGGTGCGAGGGGCTGGTAACGTCTCCACCTTCAATAAATTACCACTAAACCACGTATAAAATATCTAATTAATAAGCTTGTGCCGGAGGCCCCAGGGGACAGGCATCTATGACGTCTCCTGGCGTCAAATGACACGTTCACAGCAAGATGTTAACGACCTCGCTTGGTTTACAGGAGGTCGCGGGTTCGATCCAGACCCTGACGCCTGCTGCTGTATATTTGTAGTTTGTGTCTCTCTCTCTCTCCCCGTGGTCAGGGTTGCGATTTCCGCACCAATTTCCGCAAACATGCTGTTTTCGACCGCATTTTGCGGTAGTTTCTGTGACCCTCTTCCGCACAAATTTCCGCAATTTGCGGTGATTCCTGTGAAGACTTCCGCAAATCGTGACTTCGATTCCCGCCTTTCTCGGTGCCGTACTCGCGCGGTTGGCGCACATATCTTGCGTATGCCCATTTGGCTCTGCTGACTTCTGGAAAAAACGATATGTATATATGAACTATGGATTCCTGCATTCAGACAGCGTTGTTGGTGCGCACGAACTGTGAAAAAATCAATGAGAGCCGCGAGCTCTTGTGCGTCGAAGTACTTGTCGATGCCGTCGATGAAGCACACTTGCCACAAGTACACGACGCCACCGTTGACATGTTTGTCGCCGATAGGAATCCCTACGGTTGCATCTTTCCGGATCGACGCAACCCCCGGCGCTGTGCTCAGGCCCTTTTGCCCAGCCCCATGATGTCTCCTAGCGTCTGCCATTCGGAGCCCTCGCAGTACTCGTAGCGACAAAGGAAAAACAAAAAACTGTAGCATTTTCTTTATTCATATTCTGTCGATATGCAAAACTATTCATCGTCGCTCAGATTGCAGCGCGTTGGGAAATCCACTGGTAATTTTGGCCAAGCGCTCAGATACCCACGCTGTTTTCGATACGCTCAGATACACACGCGTTTCCGCTCAGGTAATATCCTTGTCCAGCGTACGCTCATTTGCCTCTGTCGTAGCTACTTTATACCTCCTGCGAATATATACACTTTACTGCTAACGATTAAAACTTTGGCGCACAGGTCGGTCGGCTGTGAGAGGGCTTTCTCTCTGCAAAACAACATCAAGCCCGAGGAGTGGTTGCTCCTCTCGTGCAAGCAGTTGAACGCGCTTATAGTTTGCGCCCGCGACAAGCCAAAACTCAGCATCTTTCACGCCGAAGACGACATGAAGCGCTGGAAGAATGCGAAGAAGTGAAAGTACATGTGCTCGTAATCACGGCTCCGCATTGAATAAAGTATGTGGTTCTTGTGCGGAAATGCGGAAATCATATATTCATTCCAATCAGTAACTCAAAGCCCTACGTGATGCTGGGCCTTGCATGTATCCTTTCCAATAGAACGCATTAACGTGTTGTTAAAAGCGCGCGGTCATAGGAGTAGTCTTTCCACCGTTTGCGGTTGACTTTGGCAAAAATGCGGGAAAATTTGAACCCTCCTTCCGCATTTTCCATGCGGAAATCGCAACCCTGCCCGTGGTCGCATGGATTTTTTTCCGGGTCCTCTGTTTTTTCCCTCCACATCTAAAATCAACGTGCCTTTAGAGCAGCGGTGGGGAACCTTTTTGCCAAGGGCCATTTGTATATGTATAACATCATTCGCGGGCCATACAAAATTATCAACTTAAAAATTAGCCTGTTATATTTGGTCAAACATTTAATTAACTCACCCCTAATGTGATGGCTGGAACTGCTTCTCTTTGGTGAGGCGTGTGATGTTAGCTGGTATTGATGATGTTGCTGCTACTCGCAACTGCTTTCCCAGGTTTGCTCCGAGATTTATTGAATTTCGAGTCCCGCCTGGGGTTGCCTTGGCAGGGCCACACCAAATGATTTCGCGGGCCTCATACAGCCCGCGGGCCGGACGTGTCCCACCCCTGCTTTAGAGCGTTTGGCTGCTATAAATGTACACAAACGATAAGCCACTTAATTGAGCTATCATTTGTGAGAGCCAGGTCGCTTCTGAAATAAGAGCTGCGTAGCCCAGTGGGCCGCCTTTCCTGGAAATTTTACATTAAAAGGATACGTTAAAATAGTGACACGTGCGGTATTGACGCACAAACATTTGAAAATGATCTAAGCTCCTTTCGACGATGCGCAGACTTTCACGGGGGGCCGCGAGCCGCACGGGACTCGGCATTGATGTTCTTGGAGGGCCCGAGGCACTTCTGTCTCGTTGGTACTGCTGCTGCTGCTGCTGCCCCCCCCCCATGCTACTACCACCCTCGTCGCTGTCACTCGCTAAAGCTGATACCAACAAACTGTCTCCGATCAAGCATAGACAGCACCGCATTGGCTTCTCATGCGCTACTCTCGACTGAGCACGAGATTGTGCGAAAAACACCATTTGAAGATTGTTATTGCTTCGAAACAATCTCGAAACGTTCATCTCCGGTGTTAATTTCTCTCACCTTACGAATAAAAAACGATTGACAAGACTGTGCCTCTTAGTATAGGCACTGTTGCTATCCTTGCTCTATAAATACATTTATTCAAGAAGATATCTTGGTTGCGCCTTCCCTGGCCCAGCGTGCGCGACCGCCCGGGCCCTGCCGGCCACTCACATCTGCTCCTCCACCCTGGCCAGCAGCTCCTCCATGGCCTGGGCGATCTTGTAGCCGAGCCGGGGGCCCAGCTCGGGGAAATCCCTCAGCGGGGTCGCGTCCAGGTCGACGTCGCGCAGGCACCGCAGCTGCTCGGCCCGGTTGGCCAGCGAGGCGAGGGGGGCCTCGCACGACGCCACGGCCGCATCCCACGCCCGGGAGTCGCGCCGCGCCACGGACAGAGCCCGTTTCAGGGAGGCCTCGGCGCCGGCGAGCGGGGCCCGAGGTGGCAACGAGGGCGACGATTCCGGCGTGGCCCGCGACCTTCCGCACTTCATGACGCCGCCGCCGCCGCCAAAGTTTCGTGGACGACCCTCGGCCCGAGTGCGGGCGAGCGAAGCTCCACCGGGTTGAGCTCGCCTGCGCGCGAGGTCACCTCCTCGGTGGCAGTCGTCCACCACCACCACCAGCCTTGCTGCTGCTGCCTGCTCGAGGTTCAGCGAGAGTCCAACTCACGCGTTCACTGGGACGTTGTCGCTCGCGTATCCTGAGGCGTGTCGCCTCGGGCGCGACGGTGGCGATGTGGGGACCAGGCGCTGGCAGAGAGGGAGAAGTTGGGCGCGGAGACGACGCACAGGGAGCGCGGCGGGGAGGTCGAGAGACGACGAGCGGAGAAGAAGTGGGTGGAGACGACAGCGGGCACCGACCGGGCATCTGTGGAAACTACTGCGCATCTGTGAGAGGCCGCTTCATCGTGATACCAGGGGACGGGACGGGCGAGGTGGAGGGAGATCTTGCCCGGAGCTCGCGACCCGCTGCTGTCTCCACGTGTCGACTGTCTGTCCCCACCCCTTTTTTCCTGATGACGACCGCTTGTGTTGCGATCGAAGCGCCGTAGTTTTTTGCTATTTTCTTTGAATCTCTCTACGTGACTTTACCGAAAGACCCAATGAATGTCTCCACACGTGTTGACTATCTCCATACACAAGGGGGGAGGAGGGGCAGAGGTCGCGGCGGACGGCGACTCGCGCGGGTCCCGCGGCGGCTTGCGCGCTTCGTTATTCACACGGTGGGGCTTAGCATCGACAGAACGAAACATCGCTTACGTCACCACACTCAGCAGCGGTGACGTCACCACACTCAGCAGCGGTGACGTCACCACAGTCAGCAGCGGTGACGTCACCACAGTCAGCAGCGGTGACGTCACCACACTCAGCAGCGGTGACGTCACCACACTCAGCAGCGGTGACGTCACCACACAGCAGCGGTGACGTCACCACAGTCAGCAGCGGTGACGTCACCACACGCAGCAGGGTTAAGATCACCACGCACATTACTGTCACATCACCACTGACATCGCCACCGCATCACTAACACAGTCATCAGCATTAACATCACCACTAACAATGCTAATACCACCACATCACCACACCAACAGCACCACAACATCAACATCATAAACAGCACGACCATCACCACCACCACGTTACCATCTTCACAATCAACAGTAATAACGTCACTACGTCACCACGCCACCGTCACGAACATTACCATCACATCGTTAACATCACCACTTCACCATTAAGGTCACCAATATCATTACGAGCTTCATCACCACATCGTCAAAATTCGCACTACATTACCTTCACCCAGGACTAGCACCACCGACATCACCACGTCACCATCAACAGCACTAACATTGTCACCAAATCAGCATTAACAGCACGAACATCACCACATCACCACTACACCCACAGCAGCATAAAAAAACATCACACCAGGAGCACATCCCCCCGCACCCCATGCAATGTTGGACCGTACTATGCTCACCAGATTATTGACAGCACGACCACCGCCGTCATGGATGGATGGTTCACCTACCTAAATGTCCACCTCCTACAACTCTGGTTGTCCTATGGATGGTCTCGCTCCGTCACATGAATGTGGAATTTCCACAATTGGCTTGGAGCCGTGGAAATATTCGACTTACCTGGCTACACTACGAAGAGAATCACATTACATACATTAAAAAACCACCATAAATACAATTTACACCAGTTTGCCAAAACATCTAGACCTTTATTTTATATTTCAGAAACAGTTTAAAATAAATCCAGTCATAATTTTTACTTAACGTGTTATTGAATACATTCATGAAGCAGCAACTTTATTTTAAGACGGGGGCTGCGTGTCACCCGCATTGCGAAGGTGGCACGTGCTGTTATCGGAGGTCACAATTCCAGACGTAAATCAAAACACAATTGCGACAAACCACGGCCTCCAGGCAGTGACAAGTCTATGGCTCCAGTTCGGAGACACTACGAACTCTGCCGCGGCATTTCCAGTCTGAGGTGATAATACGTGCAGGTAGATTCACCAAGAAACTGGACTCCGATGGCAGTGGCGTCGTCATCATCATCATCGCTAGAGGCCCATGGATTCGCATGGACACCCATTCGCATAGAGATCCGTAGACTCACGGAGAGACCAGTAGACTCGGACAGAGACCCAGAGACTCGCATAGAGACCCACTGACAATTTTGAATGTGATGGTCGTGACTTAATCACCACAAGAGGTGGCAGCCTGAGCAGCTTTCTGAGAGAACTGGTGTGGTGCTGGCTGCCCAGTCGTGGCGGATTATCACCACAAGTTGTCTTTGCATTTCAGTTATCAATTCGTCCACCTGCATATGTTAGCTGAGAGTGGAAAAGTTTAATTGGACTTTGTAGCTTCCGCTGGTGGGAGCCAGGAGCTGTTGGAATCCAAGAATGAGAGCACAAATCGAAACCATGAACAAATATTTTGTTTCTCAGAGCTGGTATTTAGCCAGACCAGGGGAATACAAAACTTAAAATGGCTTGGGTTATTTTGTGCAGTCATTGGTGACTGGGCTGAAACCATTGACTCGCTACACTTGAGAAGCCGGTTGACTCACGGGCAGCTGCGCCTGGGTTTGAACCCAGGATTTCAGCGGTTGCCAGCTCAGCGCTCTGACCTACGAGCCGTTTGGCCATCTCCCGCAAATAGTGACCTTAAACACTGTGCGACCTGACGTCCTGCCCATCCCTGTAGAGAAGAGGCAAGACACTTGACTGTGGCCACTGCCCCTTGGGGGGTGCACGGCCAATCAACACAGCTGCTGAACACGTGGGGAATGGGCCTTGAGGAAGTGGGAAGAAGCTGACAACAACAATATAGGTCTTCTGTGACGGTGCTGCTGCCGGCATGACGTGACGTTGTGCACGCAAGCACCAGCAGGCAATTTGTGAGGTAAGACGTGGGCCTCCAACTGGAACAATTGCATGCAGTGGCCTAGCGTGGTTGGCACAATCCCTGGTGCAAAACAAAAGAATATCGGGCTACCCCCTGGCCAATTCTCCTCCCTCCTCTTCGTAGCCCCGGCATGCGGGCTCCTTCCCACCTGCGGGGGCCCCAGTGCGATTGCACCGCCTGCACACTCGATAGCTACACCACTGTGAAAACAGAGCCAAGCATCTGCAGCCACGACAAAAGCACATGCTTTGAGATGCTCGATCTCTCGTCTAGCGCAACGTTCAACAGAGTGTACATCTCGACCAAACGACAGAGATTCCCTTGCACTCCCTCTGACTTGCATACCTCACAAACTGTGTTTCACATTTTATTCCCCTAACGTAAAACTAAACATTTAATAAACATACAAGTGCTTTGGTGCTGCATGTCCTTGTCTTGAAAGTTTGTGTAGCTGTGAGGAGGGCATCTGTGGGGAGGTGGGTGTGAGGAAGTACATGAGGAGAGGGAGGTGAGGGGAGGTGAGTGTGAAAAGGTAGGTGTGAAGAAGTAGGTGAGGCAACGTGGGCGAGGCGACATGTGTGTGTGTGAGGGACAGCTTTGCGGGAGAGGGCAGCTCGACTGAGGAGGCAATGCCACCGCGCTCCAGGCAGAGGTCACCCTCAGTGGGGAGCGTAGGAGTCCACGTCCTTTTGCTGAGACTTTTTTTTCTGCTCCTTTGCGCGCAGCCTGAAACAATAACAACAAGAAGAGAGCGAGCGCCATCAGCTGCAGCAGCTGCGTGGAGGATGCCCGACTCTCCGTGGCGGCAGGGGAGACACCATCCTCTTGCCTCTGCGGTTCGTGGATAAAACGTCGCGGCCTTCCGCTCGGGTGACGTGTGCCGGACTGACCGGGCGCAGGCCCGTGAACAACTAGGACAACCGCCTGCCGTGTTTTACAAACGAATGGCATACATGAAAATTTAAATTTCTTTGTTATCATGAAAGAGAACTGCAAAGTGTGTGCGCAAGGCTGAGAGCATTGTAAATGAAGTATGGTGGTCACAAGACGCCCATGCAAGGCATAAGGAGAGTTATGCCTTCCTGCAGCACAACTTCGTGTGTTGCTACATCAAAGAGTTTGCGTGCATAGCGTGCTACCCATTGCGTGAAGGTAGGTGGTCTGTGCAGGTGGTGTGGATATGATGTGGAGATGATGTAGAGATGACGTGGAGATGTACAGAGAGGAGCCCCTGCCGACCTCTGGCTGCGCGTGGCCGTGAGCTCCATGAGCCGGCTCTGTGTGGCGTAGAGTTCCTGCAGGCCCTGCTCGTAGTTAGCGGGCGGGCGCCCCCCGGCTCGCTCCATGGAACTCTCGCCCAGGTCTACCTCGTGCGACAGCTGGTTGGTGCGCGCGCGCAGCTGCTGGATCGACGAGTACAGCTCGCCGTTGTCCTCCTCCTGCAAGTCCGGTTCGTTCGTTGAGGGGAGAACTCGAGAGGCAAGGATAGCCTCAATTGCAAGAGTGACCCGGACCGCCAGTCACCAACACCACAACAAGTGGCAAAGTAAACACGAGTACAATAATAAAACGAAGAGAAATCAGTTCACAAATATAATTAATATTAACCTACATGCATGTCCTGTAAAAGAGTTTGCTGGGACGAATTGCTTACAAACAAGTTGCATAAATATCAACATAACATGTTGGGGTGATTATCGCACTCCTGTAGTATGTAAGCAGACAGGTTTACTTGTCAAATGCAACTGCAAAGTGAAGTCACCACGCTGAATCGATCGCTCACCGTCCACTTGTACATTAGGCGCGAGAGTGACCTCGTACAAGTGTGCAACGACGGAATTCCGGGTGTGTGGGTCGGAGAAGGGGTGAAAACCACCGCGCAAACTCTTTGCCCTTGGTACAGTGCGCTCGAGTGTCACGGAGACGGGCACGCACAGTGATCGTCACGTAAATAAAAACTAAACTATTTTCTATTTTACCAGGTAAGGTGCACTGAGCTATGGAGCTCTTTTTCAGACGTGATCTGCTATCACGACTGATAGCCCAATGAAGTGGCCTATCGTGTGGACATTTATGGCAGCTAAATATGTTTTTTATAAATGTTGAGGGAAAAACTGGAGAATATGGAGAAAAATCCACGCGACCACAGGGAGAGAGACACGCAAACTCCAAATATACAGCAGGCGTCAGGGTCTGGACTTTTCATGACCATAGAGAAACTGCCGAGGCAGGAAAGGCCCCGGCACGGGGCTGGGTGTCGGCGTAAGGGTGTCAGGACCTTTAAGCTGCTGATGTCGATGTGAATGAGCAGAGAGGCCAGCTCGATGTCCTCGTTGTAGCCGTTCTTGAGCGGCACGGAGCGGAATCCTTGCAGAGACAACGAGGGGGCGACTCACTTAGCGGGCTGCCGGGTAGTGTGGGAGTCGTGAGCGATTGTATACGACGATGATACCGGCATCAGATCGCATCTATACAAGTCAACCATAAACGACGCCGGTGTCACATTGTACATCATGTTAATATTTCATATAAAACGTATGAACTAGGCAAGGCACAGGATCACCCTGGATTAAGGTAGCTGCTAGGCCACTGAGCGGTTACGACGCTGATGACCCATACGGACAGCGGCCATGGCGTCGATCGGGCGGGCGGTCGGCCGGGCGACCGAGGTCGAGGTCGTTAGAACATCGAGGTCCCGCAAGGCAAAGTCGATGTCATTCAAAAATGACCTCGGCCGATGTCGCCCTGCTGTGCCGATTGGGTGCCTCTGGCACGTGACGCGAGTGGCGACACACGCTAGTTGACCCCCGCGCCCGTCACTCTCCTGGAGTCTGGGCCCACCACGAATTCCCAGCCTGCCCGACCTTCCTCCTCCCCGCCACACTGCCGCCCACCGCACACGCTCCCCTGCCCCCCTAAGCACACCTGTCTTGAGGCCGCGCACGGGGAACGTTGCCTGCGCCAGGAAGTTGGAGTCGCTGAATATGTCCTCCTCGTAGACGACGAACCGCAGGAAGGTGAGCTCCGGGAAGAGCACGTCGAAGATGATGGAGCGCACGGCCCACGTGGGGCTCAGCCCGTTATCGGCTGTGGGATGGGTGGGATGGTGGGGGGGGTGTACGAGAGAGAGGGCACACACGAGAAAGCATGAGAGAGCGTGTGAGAGAGTGAGTGAGAGAGCGAGTGAAAGAGCGCGTCAGAGAGCGTGTGAGAAAGGCCGTGAAAGGGCGTGGGGCCACCGATAATGTGACAAGTGGCCGAGCTTGTCGCTGGCACACAGGGACACTTTATAGTTGTCGTTTGCCCGCAATTTCATCCGATTGTGCTGTTGGTGTCATACGAAGAAGAAAATTCATTCGGAACTCTCTTACTGGAGAATGTCCATCAGAAGTGGATATCACAGAGCTGCTTCCCTTCAAGTGACCTCTGTTTCACACACATCAGGGGGCAGCACTCTGCCACCTGCCCTGCTCCGGCGTAATGTTTGTTGAGCATAGGTAGCAATATCATGAGGGTTTGTTTTGTCCAGATATTGGCGACCGGGCTGAGACCAACAACTCGCTATACCCAACATCAAAATGTAATCGCGGGCTGAGGCTGAAACCCAGAATTCGAACCCGGGATCTCGGCGGTGGCGCCTACCACGCCTCTGACGTCTGAGCCGCCCGGCCGCCTCCGAGGGCGCAACTGCTGACTGAAGACGGGGCGAGGAGCTCACGAGGCGGTGGGCACAGCAGAGCGAGGGGCACCACACGGAGACACCAGAGAGCGGCTCACGTGGCGCGTGTGTGTAGGACTGGTAGTTTAGAGATCAGCGCACTGTGCTACGAACTCCGCGACCCGAGTCCAATTCCTGCCCATGGCCAACATCGGCGACGAATATCTGACCTGGTCCTGAGCTTCCCCCTCCCATTTTAAAATTATTTTCGTGCTATAAATGTCAAAATGGTGGGCCACTTTGATGCTGTTTGTTGTTGTAACGTTCTTACCCGCCCCTACTGGACATCCGTGAAAAAGAGCTTTACAGCTCATTGGGTTCCTCCAGTAGAAATAAAGATTCTGATTTTGACTGGGCATTAAAAGAGTATATGATGCTGTGTGTGAACATAAACACTGGGGGAGACAAAGGCGGCCGTGTGCGGTGTTGGCCACCCGTCCCCTCGTGCGTGCGTCTGTGTATCACTCACGCACGACCTCGGTCTTGAACTTGTTGGAGTCGAACTCGGCACCGCATATCTCCACCTCCACAAACGGGTTGCTGATGCTCCGGCTGCTCCGGGGCAGGCGCCTCGCCCCGTACAGCTGAGCGCACGCGCACACAAGTGGACACACGCAAATACGTGCACACGTACACATGCGCACCTGCACACACGCATGCATCCACGTGCGCACGCACACAGGCGCAAGGGCGTACAACAAATAAAGATCCCTTCATTCCTTGTGCAGCCACACAAATGGCTTGGACGCATTGAATGTGTGGCTGTGCTATGCAATGATCACTTCGCTGCGCTCCCTCGTGTTGTCCAGTCAACCTTCGCTGAGTGAGAGGTCACTCATTCTCCTCTGCTGCTCCTATAGCTTGGAATTCCCTTCCCCCAGCCATCCGCACTGTCAAATCCCTGCCCCTGTTCAAGTTGAGGCTCTGCCTGTGGCTGACCGAGTGATTTGATGAATGTGATGGTGACGAGGAGACATTGGAGATAGGGGTTGTGGTGCTGCAGCATTAGGGATGTATGTACGTAGAACTTCTTTCGCACCGTACGTAGCCAACCGCGCTAATCAAAGGTGCGGGGGAAGAAAAAAAAACGAAACACAAAAAGCAGTTCTAAAGAAATGAGTTGTCAAGGTTAGTGTTCAGCGTTAGTGTTAAGGTTAGGATAAGGGTTTAGGTGTAATTGTATGGTTAGGGTTGGTGTTAACATTCGGATTAGTATTCGGGTTGGGTTTAATATCACGGTTAGGCGTAAGATTTAGGGTTACAGTTAATATTAAGGGTTAAAATGTAAACTAGCGTGAGAGTTAGGGTTCATGTGAGGACCAGGTTTGGTGTTAAGATTCCAATCAGAGTCAATAGTAGGGCAGTGTAAGCAGTAATATTAGGATTCGAGATAGTAGGAGGAATTAGGGGTTGAGTATAACGCTTAGGGTTCGAGTGGGGATTACAGCTCAGATTATAGTTGCGGTAGGGGCGAGGGTTATGGTGGAGGTTAGGGTTCTGGTCGGGGTTAGGGATGGCACTCGGGGGAGTGGTCACTCCGTACGATGAGCTGGATGCTGATGCCCTGCTCGGGCCGCAGGGTCAAGCTGTCGCGTGGGTTGAATCCGGGGTCCAGCATGCACTCGGGTTTCAGCAGGTAGCCGCTGCGGCCGTTCATGCAGAAGAACGCCTCGTTCAGCTGCATCGGCTTGTCTGTCCCACCACAGCGTCACACCACAACCAGCATAACATCGCAGCCGGCGTCATACCCACATCATCGCGCCAAAACGTCACCACAGCCGGCGTCGTACCACATCGTGACACCACGTCACACCACAGCCGGTGTCACACCGCAGCTGGTGCTATATAACAGCTGGCGTCGCTCCGCAGCTGATGTCACATCACAACCAGCGTCACACCACAGCCACCGTCATACCAGAGCATTGCAATTCACACCATAATCACCATCACTAGATACACGGGCAATATCATCACCAGTTGCCACAACATCATCATCATCATCATCATCCTTTGTATCATCTTCATCATCCTACTCCCCATCATCATATACCTCACCATCATCACCAACTCACTCATCATCACCAACTCATCACCATCACCTTCGCTATTATCACAATCATGACCCTCACCATCATCAACCCCATCATCATCAACTTCACTACGAGGCCCAGCATAAAACGGGCCGCTGCTGCCACTCTCCACGCGTCCTGCTCGCCGCAACTCACCGGGCGTCTGGAAGTTGAGCGCCACCATCTGGGTGCCGCAGAGCCACATGGGCACGGGGTCGTAGTTGGAGGAGTCGATGCGCTGCCCCTTGGGGTAGATGCGGCTCAGGTAGCGGGCGTTGTGGGCGAGGAAATCGCGCGCCCGGGCCCCCGCGGACACCTTCTCCGCCTTGCTCTCGTTGAGCGACGACATGTCGCGGCAGCTGCTCTTCTCCTCTGCTCGTGGTCAACGGCGCGGGATGGGGAGGCGGGAGAGGGGGTCACCAAGCGGCGAGACCCCCGTGGATTCATCGCAGCTAGGGTTGGGCTTCGGCATCACAAGAACTGATTTTGACGCTCCACCACCACCGCGCAAGATTTGCTGACCGGGGTTGCTAATCGCGGGAAAAGAAATAATTATTGTGAAAAATGTGTATACCGTGCACTGGAGTGCCGCCAATACGTTCAATTGGAGACGTGATTTTAGAACATTTTAAGGATGCTGAACAACGATGGGACACGCACACAAATTGCTATGAACAGGCTATGGGGGCAAGTACTGCTCACAAGCACCTATGAAGCCCGGCACGGTACACGAGGGAGTGGGTGGCCAGCACCGTGCCCGGCTCCCTTTGTCTCCCCAGTGCTGATGTGTACACACAGCACCAGGTCCTAATTTTAAGGCTGGGTCGACCTTGGGGAGACCCAGGACTGGTGGAAATATTCGCCACTTGTTATTGGTTGCGAGCGGGAAATTAATTTGGGTCACCGTGATTCATACTGCAGCTAACGCACGAGCACCCGTACACACGAACACATACACGCACAGAAGTGCACGCACGCACGTACTGTCGAAGGGCACCGGGCGACAGTACACCACGAGCTCCGACATCTGCAGAGCCACATTGCGGCGCCGCGACTCCTCCATGCACGTGTGCATCTTCACGGACAGAGGGACGGGGAAACACGGAGAGGTCACGACCTCGGCACGGAGACTCCACCTGCGCTCCTCAACCCCATCGCGAGCGCCGTGACAACGCAACGTTACAGCGCGACCAACTGCACCACCACCGGAGCAAGTCCACAAATACTCACTGGGTGGCCACCTGTCCTGGGTTTGACTTGGACAGCTCGGGACTAGGTGGCAGGAACTGACTTGCACAGAGATCTGTTGATGGTATTGTGTTGAACTTTATTACAGAGTGTTGCTAAACCTTGTGCCGACTGAGACACGGGTCTAGGTTCGGTCTGTGGAAAAGGTGGCAAGCCCCAGATAGACACCACACACCTCAACATCATCACCACCATCACCACCACCTCATCAGAGCCCACCTCCACTTCCTTCAGCGGCTCCAGACACTCAGCACGGTACAGCGCATGTTGTACCGCACTCGCAAACCATACAAACACTGTATTTATCAGGGCACTGTATAAGAGGGGAGGATGGGAGCCGAACCCCGAGGGGAAGTTGGTAAGGTGTCCGCGAGGAAACCGTTTGCTTTAGTAAGCAACGGCTTGCTACACAATTCTGTGCACACACGAACGCGATAAAAGCGGGAAGTTGGGCCTGGAGAAGTTCCTCCTTCGTTGAGGCGATGTGAAGGCTGCGGGCCTGTGCCCACGGGCTGCGCGGTTGCCAGGCTAAGGGGGCTCTGCGGCGAGGATGTCGATCGACTCCCCGCGATGGCTGCAGTGTTGATTGCAAACGGAGGGCGTTGGTGTTTGCTCCGTTTGTTCCACTTTTTTGTTGTTGCAACGAACGGAAATGCAGCGTTACAGTTTGGCTTCTGGTGGGGAGACATTTGGCCGTGTTCCTGGTTACGGCTGGAGAAAATAAAAATTGTAAAAAAAAAGTGGACAAATCCGCTCATAAATGGTCTCTTTCACACTTCTGCCAGGGTGCCAGCTTCCTCGTTTGGAGCAAAATTGTGTCGTACAGTGCATATCCAGACCTCATCGCACGACGCAATTGCAGTCCCAAAAAGGCTTTGAGTAACGTAGGGCTCTATCGTAAACGACACGACTTGCACGGCTGCAGTTACCGAAAAAATGTGATTCTCAGATTCGTCTAGAATATCTGTAATTGCAGAGATGTAACGGTTTGTATTCTTGGCAACGGCATGGACCTGGGGCTGGCCCGAGCGCTCGCCGCCGTCACTGCCACTTCTCTCGCACATCCATTGTCCCCAACACGACCATCATCATCACCGCCACCATGACATTGAGCACCGACATTTCCAGAACCACCACCACCAACAGAAGACTCATGCATTCGGAGCCTCGTGCTCCGAGAAACCGATTCTCCCGACGGCGACCGTGATCCTGGACCGAATGCTCCGGCAGTGGCGGTAGCAATGCAGGGGTGCATGGGGGTGGTGGGGAGACCCTCGTACCCGGATGCCAGCGTGGTTGGCGGTCTCGCGGATCTTGGTGACCCACGAGAAGAGCTCCTCCTGGCTCGTCACGGCCACGTCCAGCGGCCGCACCACCGGCTGCATGACCTTCGCCTCGATGGTGAAGACGCAGCGCTGGCTGCCCTTGCCCTGCTGGTGGACGGCTACGGCACACGCGGGCAGCGGTCGTCGGCGTCGCCACCGACATCGCGAGCATCGCAAACGCCTATGCCGCCACTTTTAATAACCCCACCCTTTATCTCTACCTCTCGTCACCTTTCGTCCGTTTTTTTATGATTGCCGTAAATCGCCATGGAATAAGGCGCAATTTCAATCTATATAAGGTCTCGAGTGTCACTGTCAGAGCCGCCGTCACCACCAACAACATCGTCTTCAAAAGTCATCGCCGGCATCACGAGCATCAGTGTCGGAATTGCCATGACGAGCATCTTCACCGAAATCGCCAGCATCGTAAAAGATCAGGAGTGTCACTGTCAGAACCGTCACCACCAACATCAGTATCATCATCATCACGAACACGACTGTCAGAACCACCATCACAAACATCACCGAGCATCATAATCATCACCAACTTTACCAAAATCAAATTAAAAATGTCCTCAAAACACCAAGGAGGCATGCACAGTATATACCTGTTGTGTTTACAAAACCCTGGGTACCTCTACGAAGAGCTAATTTTGCCCATTTACTACTTGTAAAGTAATGTTTTGAGTGCTCAACCATACTAAATTTAAACACCAATAGCGCACATAACTTGAAGGTATAAAGTAACTCTGACATAGAGTACTTGCTTTGCTGGGTCAGATCGCGTGAGATAAATGTGTGTTTTAAAGCACTCCTCCTGCCCACAACGCAGCCAGTCAATGAAGCCGTCGCGTCCCGTCGAAGCGGTGATACAGTGTCACGTTCGTTCACGTGAAAATGTATAATTTTGATTGATTGGCAGGAACATCACAAAAGCACCGCACGGGCTTGTGAGAGCTCATTGGGCCGCTCGGCAGGGTGGAGCGAGCGGCACCGTAATGTGGAACCGTAGCCCGGCACGCGGCGTTCCTGCACAGCGTGGAGATGCCGCTGAGCCACGGGTCAGCGCTGCGCCTCGCGCGCGGTTTGCTCTTTGACCTTTCAGCTGTGACATTTTCACTTACATTTTTGTACATTTTTGAGGTTTCCCCAACCCCCCCCCCCCCACCTCATGCGGGACACTGTACATCCGCTCACAGAATACACTGCCAGCAACTGAACCGTAGAGAAGTTCGAACTGCTGCATGATTATAATAATTATTTAATAATGGGCGATATCTTGACTTAAAGCTTTTGTAACTGCAGGAATTCATATTCTTGGGTCTTTCGGTAAAGTCACGTAGATAGGTTCAAAGAAAATAACAAAAGAATAACAAAAAACTACGACGTTTCGATCGCAACACAAGCGGTCGTCTTCAGGAAAAGGGGGGTTCGCTTTGAAGGCAAACTGTTTATAAGGGTTTGAAATGGGTGTAGCACAAATGTCAGCAGCCAATGATAATGTAAGTAGACATACTCTTAGGTTTTTTCGGTAAAGGCACGTAGGTAAAAATTATAATAAAATAAAATAATAATAAATCACGACGTTTCGGAGGCAACACAGGTGGGACCGTCAGACCTGAAGACGGAGACTTGTGTTGCCTCCGAAACGTCGTGATTTATTATTATTACATTTTATTATTATTTTTACCTACGTGACTTTACCTAAAAAACCTAATAGTAAGAATCCTTGCAGTCACGAAAGCTTCAAATCTAGAAGATAATGTAAGTGGTGGACAGTCAACCCGACGGTGGTTAGTTTTCCACCAATCAAAGGGCTGGCAGGTGAAAATTTGCATGTTAATGAGATATTAGCATGTTAATGGAAGACCGCAGAGCCGTAACCAAGTTATCGTCGTGCAAAGTGGCTGTGTGAGTGTGAACCCTGTGAAAGTGTAAGGTTTGAAATGGGCGTAAAGCACAACTAACATCGGAAGGTGGTAGGATGGGAACATCATAGCCAATTATGAGTCAAACTGGCTGATAACGTCCTTCCAATGATTGCTCAGCTTGTACCCATCTTCTCGGTTGAAGTTGTGTCTGTGTCTATATATATGGATGGCTTCATGAACGAATCTTTGTTGATAGCCAGTGGGCTTGCAAAGTACCTTCGTCTTAGAGAAATCAATTTCGCGTGAGCCCACCGCATTAAAACAATGATCAGCCACGGCCGAGGTATTGGTCCTACCGTGTTTCAGATCTGCCTTATGCTCACGAACACGGTCCGAGCCATGTCGCTTAGTTTCCCCAATGTAACTACTTCTGCAGACACAGCTTAGTTTGTAGACGCTGGGGTATTGCATGTCAGGGATCACATCCTTCACAGATGGGATCAGATCACAAATTTTATGTACTGTGTTAAATCGAACCTGGATCTTGTGTTTGCTCAAGATTTTGGAAATATTTTTAGTGACCCCTGCTATGTATGGCAAGGTGATGGTTTTGATTGGACCTAAGATGGTTCTTTCCCAACGGTTGGGGTTATAGCTTTACGGATTGTGTAGTCCGAATATCCATTCCTCTTGAGGGCTTGGTGTACGTGTTTCAGTTCACTGGCTAGGTGATGACGGTCGGAAATACATCGAGCTCTATGGTGTAGAGTTTTGACGAGGAAATTCTTCTGGGATGGATGGAGGTGGGAGTCAGATTTTAGGGAGGCATCCGTGTGGGTGGCTTTCCTGTAGACAGTGTCCCATTGAGCCATCTGGTCTCTTTTCGATTAAAACATCCAAGAATGGTAACTTGCCTTCCTTTTCCACCTCCATGGTGAATTTGATGGCTGGGTGGATGGAATTGATGTGGTTGAGGAATTGGTTCAGAGCTGGTCGGCCATGTGGCCAGATGACGAACGTGTCATCTACGTACCTCTTCGACAAGGACGGACGTAGAGTGGATGCCTGGATGGCATCTGTCTCAAATTTTGTCCACGTAGTTTTCATGTTTTTTGTTATTTTTTGTTATTTTCTTTGAACCTATCTACGTGACTTTACCGAAAGACCCAAGAATATAATGCAATATAATGCACACCATGTAACATATCGTCTGATAATAATACAATTATTGTTGTATTTCATGAGGAGTCTGTGGGAACCTCCGCAAAGAGTGACGGAACCAGCACCAAGCACCAGGAGGGCGCCCGACATAAAAAAACACGGAACATTTGGCCGACGTTGGGCCGACGTCGCACATTTACTGGGTGGCGAGCGTGACGCGACGCCGGTGGGGGGGGGTCTCACTGATATGCGTGGTGGGGATGTCGATGGTGCCCTTCTGCAAGCTCCCCAGTGGGTTGCTGCCGTCCGTCTCCTGTGGGGGGGGGGAGGGCGGACAGGGGGGCGGTGGGGGTAGCCACAAGGAAGGGTTGCGGTGACGCCGGGGACACGGTGCGCGGGCAGGCTATGCGGCAACCGGGAGGACGCGCGCACGGACAAAGAAGGAGGCGGAGAAGAAGGAAAAGGAAGAGGAGAAAGAGGAGAAGGAGAAGGCCGATGCCAAGAAGAGTGAGGCGAAGGAGAAGAAGTGAGATCTGAGCCCAGTGGGCTCCCGTTGGACTCCGCCATTCGACACTGTCTGACGCCTGTGCTGTCCATGGATGTGTTTTGTCTCGAGTGTTGCATTCGTTGTATAAAACGGTCATATGCCTCCAGTGTGTGTGTGCGTAATGATTTTAGTTACATAACATCTAACCAGGCCCTAATCTCATCAGCCGGGTCTGTCCGGGTCACAGACCCGGACAATATTTCCACACATCCCGTAAATGCCCCTCGCTGTGACTCCTCATCGTCACGATCCTACTGCGGCCTACCAACACAGGCCCACTGAGCTACGCACAGCTATCAGCGCTAGACTGGAGGAGGGATGCTCGGAGAGGATTGTGCCGCCGGACGGGAGGTGCAGCGAGGAAGCCCTCACCTCTTGCTGGGCGAGCGGATTCGCCACTTCCTCCACGTAGTTCGAGGGGAACCACAACTGCTTCTTGCCGCCGTAGTCGCCCTTCCACCTGCACGGAGAGACCCCCTCGCTGTGACACGCCGCCGCAACGCTCGAGAGACGCAGCCCACCGGAACGTGCACAGGACGGACGCAGAGCCCTTGTGCTCACGCGCGCGCGAGTGTGACCGTGTCTTTCCCGAGTTACTAAAAAGAACGAAAAACTATCAACTATTTTTACCACGTAGGCTTTTGCGACCAATATTATCCACGAGGTTTTTTTGGGGGGGGGTTAGATCGCGTAAATATATAAATGTGTCGTTAAACCTATAAAAACCTCTAAAATGGATAAACTTTTTATATCACCAGGTAAGGTCCACTCAGCTATATAGCTCTTTTTCAGAAGCAACCTGTCCACAAATGATAGCTTAACGAAATGTATAGTAGCCAAATCCTCAAAATGCATGTTCATTCTGAATGTAGAGGGAAAAACCGGAGGGCCCGGAGATAAATCCACATGACCACGGGGAGAACATGCAAACTCAACTATACAGGTGTCACGGTCAGGATCGAAACAAAGACCTCCTGCATATCAGGCGAGGTAGTTAACATCTCTTCACTGCGGCGCCCCAAGCAAGTTGTCAGCACTCTCCGCATTACGTGTGCCTTGTTTAGCAATCATCAGGTCTCCGTGTCCCCGTGTCTCAGTGTCCCCTCATCCCTGTGGTCCCACGTCCCCAAGTTACTGTGACCATTTTAACGTCTACCCTCTTGTCCCCTATGTCCCCTGTGTCCCCCCAGTCTCCGTAACCCTCTACCCCCATACCCCTGCGCTCCCGCTCACCAACCCTCGTCCTGCACGTCCCCGTGTCCATACGCCCCCCGCTCACCAGCTCTCATCCTGCTTGTCCACGTTGCGGATGATGGCGTTTCTCAGGAAGGAGAGCTCGTCACTACGCTCCGTCTGGTAGTCGTACAGCGTCTTCACCATGACTCCCTGCAGCACAGGCGCCATCAAGCAAGTGCGGGCTCAGGTCACTGGGTTCGCAATGGGTCATGTGGGGTCACGCAGGGTTACTCCGAGTCCATTCAGAGTAACACGGGATTACTCCAGGGTCACACAGGGCCACACGGGGTCACACGGCTGCACTCGGGCACAACAGCTCAGTAGGGGCGGTGGGGGGGGGGGGGGTGCGAGCCTACCGCGGGTTTGGTGGTGTTGTTCGCGGTGACGTAGAGGCTGTCGGAGCGGTAGAGGCTGTTGAGATCGGCCATCTGTCGGTGGGAGAGAACCACAACGGCTGGGTTTCTATGGCTGCATCCACAAATTCACGTGGCACCTGCGACCTCCGCTCCGTACAGGCGAGCCAGAGGTCATTCCGTGAGAAACGAAGTGCCGGGGAAATCTTCAAACAGCCTCAACGGGAAATCCACAGTCCAGCTGCAGGGCGGGGGTTGCAGTGGTCGGCGCACTGCGCTGCGACCTCAGTGACCCGAGTTCAACGCCCGGTCACGACTAATATCAGTAAGGTAAGTTGAACTTCTCTCACACCGTATGTGGCCAATCAGAAGTAATGTCAGAACCGGTCCCAGGCCTCTGCTATGTCAACTCGGCCTTAAATGAGTACCTGCTACTGTGAGTCAACATCAGCTCTGACACAAAGATGGTCAGATATGGTGCTGGCTACCCCACTCTCGCATTCGCCATCCTGGCCTTCATAGGTGCTCGCTAACAGCACTTGCGCCAAACGTCTGTGTAGGCTTCACGGGATACCTTTGTTTTGCATACGCAGTTTGTAATTTAGATGTTGCCGTTGCAGCGATTAAAATGCACAGGAGGGGGGATAGTGGCCATTGACATTATTCTTGTGGGCCAGCTATTTATAAATGAATCTCGTTCTTGGTTTGAATGTCGATGTTGAATTATTGGCAATAGAAAATTAACAATGCATCATCATCATTATCATCTTCGACTTGGCATGGAAATAACACCTAAGGCCGCCGGGTTTTCAGCACAGTGCGCTAACCATTGCACCACCCCTCCCCACTCCACACACCCATCGGCCCCCATGTCTCCCACGTCTCCACGAATGCCTGCAATGCTTTTGGAGGCCCTTGGAAAAATCCCAGGTGAGGCCTCATTCTGAGGCTTCCTCAAATGTGAGACCTGGGGACAAAACTGCCCCACCTGCCTCCCTTTTCCCACGGCCATGTCCACGTGCAACCCGCACGTCTCCCTGCGTGTGTCTCACGCCACCTCACATATCCCCCATGCACCTCCACGCGTCCCCAAGTGTCCATGACAGGTGACATCGTTTCCCCGTATTTCCCCGCGTGTCCCCCAATGTGCGTGCCCACCACTCCGCCGCCGCCCTCCCCCCCCCCGCACCTCGGTGCCGAGCTTCTGCAGCGTCTCTTCGTTGATGGGGTAGCGGAGGCGCGTCTTGCGGTAGAGCGGCTGCTTCTCGTAGTACGACACGAGCTCGACGAGGCTCTCGAACTCGGCCGAGCTGCCCAGCAGGAAGAGCCGCCCCTCCTGCTGCACGCGGCAGTGCTTGATCTTGCCCTCCGAGCTGCACACGCGAGCGTGCGAGCGCAAACGTCGCATAACAGCAGCGGTGACAAAGAGACAATGCTGGGGCAAGTGTTGTGAACGGAGCACCTATGAAGGCCGGCGTGGCACACGAGGGGGTCAGTGGTCAGCACCGCGGCCGACTGCCTTTGTCTCCCCAGTGGCGATGGTTTTTACACACCACACCAGGTACTCATTTGAGGCGGAGTCGATCTAGAGGAGGCCCAGGACTGGGTTAGATAATAATCATTGGTGTTGGCCGTGAGCGTGAATCAAACCCTGGTCCCCGGTAAATGGCGCGGCACGCTAACCACTGCACTAGCGCTCCCCACACACGTATGCACAAAGACAAAGATCTCCCGTATAGCCTTAACAGACTGTTGGGGCAGGTGCTGTTCACGAGCACCTATGAAGGCTGGCACGGCACGCGAGGGGGTGGGTCGCCAACACTACGCCCGGCCGCCTTTGTTTCCCCAGTGGCGATGTTTACACACCGCACCAGGTACTCATTTGAGGCTGAATCGACCTAGGGGAGGCCCAGGACCGGTTCAGATAATCTCCACTGGTCACCGGGTTCGTAGAGCAGAGCACTAACCACTACGCTACCACTGCCCACACACACACACACACGTACACACACACACACGTACACACACACGTACACACACACACATACGTACACACACACACGTACACACACACACACACACGTACACACACACGCGGACGGACGGACGGGAGACGCTCACCGGAAGGTGATGGCGAAGGAGCCCGGCTCGCTGCGCTTGCGCACCAGGAAGGCGCCGTCGTGCGGGACTCGCATCAGCATGAACTCGGCCTCCCCGCGGCTCATCCCGCTGTGGTACCAGCTGCGACGCACGGGAGACGACAGCGTGAGCCGCACGCGCGCAAGCACACGGCGGTTGGGGGGGGGGGGGTACAGCACTGGTGTGTGTGCGGCCGTCGAGTGAGCAGGCGGTGCAACTGCACCGGGCCTCGAAGGTCGGAGGGGGATCACCCGGCTCCGACCCACAGGGAGGAGGGAAGACCCTTGCACCGGGTCCCCCCGGGTCCCCCCGGTGCCAACCGCACTACGCCGCTGTCCGCGAGGGTGCGAGTGGCGGTGCGTGTGTCTGCGTTTGAAGGTGAGGACGGTGAGAAATGTTGAGGAACGAGCGCCGGTGTTTGTGTGACGATGCGGGACTGCTGCCGAAAGTTTGAGAATCGAAGTCATATTTGGTGCTCATCTCCTGTTTATTCTATAGCAAGGGCGCATCTATCCCTAGGATAACAACGAGTGATCTGTGTGCCTATTGCTGTGAATGCTGGGGTGTATGTTGCTGTTATCTTGACAATGTATGTACCATTGAACGTGAGCTTCTTTCGCAGCGCATGTAATCGGAGGTGTGGAAATGTGACCGTTGGTCCGTGTGCGTCGGTGTTTGCCTGACAACGCGAATTGTTGGTATCTGGAGTTTGGTCTAGCAGGGAGCAGTCGCTACGCCTTAACCCGCGACCTCGACGAAGAAGCCGCTGCCGGTCCTCGGGGGTCGAAGTCCGCTGCCACCGAGCGCGGAGCATCGGGAGGGACCAACACGGAATAGGCGCCGATAAGCGGACACCGAACTGTGCAGCCAGATCAGCCGAACTTGCCCCAGCGATCAACGGACGGTGGGAAGGTGTAGCTGCCAAATCGCACGGCACATTCACGAATTGTTGGTATCTGAGAATGACGATGACGACGATACGATCGTCGGCCTGCGCCTCCGCCGTGAAGCCGGTGTGCCTCTCACTCCTTCTTCTCGTGACCATTGGGCTGCGGCACCGGCTCGGAGAGCTGCATCTCGATCTCCTTCCAGCGCAGCGGCACCTGGCGGTAGTAGGCCACGAGGTTGTACAGCGAGTCGAACGGGAGGTTCTCGAGCAGCGAGTAGCTCACCACTTCGCCGTTGACGTCGCGCTGGCTGTGGATGCGGCAGTGCTGCACGCGGCCCGCGTACCTGCCGAGGGGGGGGGGGGGGGGGTCGTGCGAGGACACTCCGGGGTCAACCGCGATCCGGCGCTTGGCTCGCCCCGGACGGCAATTCGTAACCGATATCTGGTTTGGGTCGCGTAATGAGTCAGAACGAAAACTTGCGTTGCTGAGACCCTCCTGCATCCGACGCAGTCAAATTAAATTATCGCGTGTACACAAGCGACTACCGCTTCAATCTCTACGATTGTTGCAGCTCGCTCACCGGTGGATTCGTGAAAATTAAATACTTTTTTTGTTATTCCGGTGAGCAGAAGAAGAACTCTCACAACCCAATTGAGCGATTAGATTGGCGAAGTTTCGCTTCAAACCACGCCGAGGATCATCAGGACAAGATCCGGGAAGTCAGAATAACAACTCAGGAAGTCGGGTGGTGAAGGTGTCTTAAAACGAGACAAATTCGGTCAGATCACCACGTGGCTCAAGCCCAACGTCTAACAATGAATCATCGCAGTCGCTGCAAAAAATCTCGACGCGTTAAGTCGACCATAGAGTCTCTAGCGCTTCCAACGGAGGGTGACGGCGTGACTGCTCCGTCTGTCGCGGCTCGGGGGGGGGGGGGGGGAATGGCCAGTGACTCTCGCCACGGGGTGATCCAACATGAACACAACTGTCGTGTCGAGTCGTGGTGCTGTCCGGGACTCTCCATGGAGAAAACCGGACAAACTTATTCAAGAGCGGCCCAAAACTGAGAGAGAGAGAGAGAGAGAAAAAAAAGGAAGTGCTAAAAGGATGCGCGTGCCTCCCCTCCCCCCAAGCTAACGATGTGTGACGTCTCGAGACAAGACCTGTTTCCGTGGTCTGTAAAGTAGGTGATGCTATCGCCCATATTAAATACTTCCGAGAACGTGTTCGTGAGCGTTGCAGAATCCGCGCAAGCACATTATTTTTCTTCCTTGTTCTAGTTTGTCTACAATTTTTTCCCTGCAGAGTCAGATTACGATCTCGCGATCGGCGCCGCAAAACACAGACTCCACTCGGTGTCTCACAGAGAGATTCAACAAGTTCTTGACTTCCTTGAACACTGTCGCAGAAATTAGATTAGCACGCCACATCCTTCTCACCTTGTTTTGACCCCATCGTACCCTACAATCCTACGAACTGTTCATGCAATTATAGGACTATAGAGTATGAAACTATAGGATTATTATGGAAATGTATACTTTAGTGGTGAGTGCCTTGTGTACCTCCGATTAGCACGGATGACTATGTACGGTGCAAAAATAAGTTCATCATGCGTACATATATTATGCAAATAATCCCTACTGCACGCCCATCTATCAATGTTGCAGAAAATAATGGGGGAGAATTCATATTCTTGGTTCTTTCGGTAAAGTCACGTAAATAGAAAAAAAATTATTAAAATAAAATAACAAAAATTTAATTGAAATAAAAAAATTGTAATAATACAAATAAAATACAAATTAATTGAGAATAATAAAAGCTGAAAAAACCCACAAGAAAAATAAAAAAGATATAGTAAAATAAATAAAAAAGGAATTTTTTTTTTATAAAAATGAATTGGAAATAATAAAAGAAAAAACCCCACGACGTTTCGATCGCAACACAAACGGTCTTCATCAGGCGGAGAGAAAAGAGGGGGCAAGCCTCCAAATGTTGCTGCTTATAAGGGCTCCAGAGTGAGCGGGCGGGGGACCAGAGCGGCGCTAGCAACACGCCAATGCAGGAGCAGAACAATGGGGGAGTTGGGAGGAGGAGAGCTTGTGCAGAGCAAACAGCATGGACGGGGCAGCCAGTCAGCCAGCGCTCATGTAGGAGCAGACAATGGGGGGGAGGAAGGGGGCAGAGACAGGGGGAGAGAGAGGGGGTGGGGCAGATATGGGGGGGGGGGGGGGGCATTGCACCTTCCACACTACTGACGGTAGAGGTTGACAAGAAAACACAAATCGAGTCATGACCCAAAATGGTTGATGACATCTTTCCAATGATTGCTGAGTTGAAAACCGTCGTCTCGGTTGAAATTGTGTCTGTGTCTGTATATATGGATGGCTTCGTGAAGGAATCTTTGTTGATAGCCAGTCGGCTTGCAAAGTACCATCGTCTTAGAGAAATAAATGTCATGTGAGCCATGATCAGCCACGGCAGAAGTATTGGTCCTGTCGTGTTTCAGATCTGCCTTATGCTCACGAACACGGTCCGAGACATGTCGCTTAGTTTCCCCAATGTAACTGCTGCCGCAGATACAGCTTAGTTTGTAGACGCCGGGATATTGCATGTCAGGAATCTTGATGGGATCTACGGCTCTCTGTGTAAGTCACTGGATGATTGGCCACGAGACCATGGACTAGCTATGCTCGAGACGCCCTGTTGTAATGACCTTCATCACCCTCCTCGATTCAAACCCAGGATCTGAGCGGTGCCGAGCCTCAGTGCCCCGGCCTCTCACCGGGCCGGCCTCCTTCGTGTGTGTTTTGTTTTTTGGGCTAAACGCTCGCCCTGCCACAGAGAGACAGAGAGGACGGGGGGGGGGGGGGGTCCGTCGCGTGCTGGTGGACCCCACCGTTGGTTGGCTCTCACCAGAAGGAGATGGAGAACTCCCCGCGGAAGCGCTCGCTCTCGCGCACCAGGAACGCCCCGTCCTGCTCGGCGCTCTCCGCGCAGAACTTTTTCAGCAGGCGCTCGGCCTCCTTGCGGCCGCCCGCCATGCGGCCATGGAACCACGACTCGGAGAAGTGCAACTCCTCGTGGCCGCTCCCCTCCTGCGCGAGCGCACGGCCGCACAGGTCAACGCCATCGTGCAACCACACAGACACACAGACACACAACCACACAGACACACAACCACACAGACACACAGACACACAACCACACAGACACACAACCACACAGACACACAGACACACAACCACACAGACACACAGACACATAGACACACAACCACACAGACACACAACCACAGAGACACACAACCACACAGACACACAGACACACAACCACACAGACACACAAACACACAGCCACACAGCCACACAGACACACAACCACACAGACACACAACCACACAGACACACAGCAACACAGGCGCACAACCACACAGACACACAACCACACAGACACACAACCACACAGACACACAGACACACAACCACACAGACACACAACCACACAAACACACAACCACACAGAGACACAGACACACAGACACACAACCACACAGATACACAGACGCACAACCACACAGACGCACAACCACACAGATGCACACCCACACAGATGCACACCCACACAGACGCACAACCACACAGACGCACAACCACACAGACACACAACCACACAGACACACAGACACACAACCACAGAGACACACAACCACACAGACACACAGACACACAACCACACAGACACACAGACACACAACCACACAGACACACAACCACACAGACACACAACCACACAGACACACAACCACACAGACACACAGACACACAGACACACAGACACACAACCACACAGCCACACAGACACACAACCACAGAGACACACAACCACACAGACACACAGACAGACAACCACACAGACACACAGACACACAACCACACAGACACACAGACACACCGACACACAACCACACAGACACACAGACACAGACACACAACCACACAGACACACAGACACACAGACACACAGACACACAACCACACAGACACACAGACACACAGACACACAGACACACAACCACACAGACACACAGCCACACAGACACACAGACACACAGACACACAACCACACAGACACACAACCACACAGACACACAACCACACAGACACACAACTACAGAGACACACAACCACACAGACACACAGACACACAACCACACAGACACACAACCACACAGACACACAGACACAGACACACAACCACACAGACACACAACCACACAGACACACAACCACACAGACACACAGACACACAACCACACAGACACACAGACACACAGACACACAACCACACAGACACATAACCACACAGACACACAGACACACAACCACACAGACACACAGCCACACAGACACACAACCACAGAGACACACAACCACACAGACACACAGACACACAGACACACAACCACACAGACACACAACCACACAGACATACAGCCACACAGCCACACAGACACACAACCACACAGACACACAACCACACAGACACAACCACAGAGACACACAACCACACAGACACACAGACACACAACCACACAGACACACAGACACAGAACCACACAGACACATCGACACACAACCACACAGACACACAGACACAAACACACAACCACACAGACACACAACCACACAGACACACAACCACACAGACACACAGACACACAACCACACAGACACACAACCACACAGACACACAGACACACAGCCACACAGCCACACAGACACACAACCACACAGACACACAACCACACAGACACACAGCAACACAGACGCACAACCACACAGACACACAACCACACAGACACACAGACACACAACCACACAGACACACAACCACACAGACACACAACCACACAGACACACAACCACACAGACACACAGACACACAACCACACAGACACACAACCACACAGACACACAGCAACACAGACGCACAACCACACAGACACACAACCACACAGACACACAGACACACAACACACAGACACACAACCACACAGACACACAACCACACAGACACACAACCACACAGACACACAACCACACAGACACACAACCACACAGACACACAACCACACAGACACACAACCACACAGACACACAGACACACAGCCACACAGACACACAACCACACAGACACACAACCACACAGACACACAGCAACACAGATGCACAAACACACAGACACACAACCACACAGACACACAACCACACAGACACACAACCACACAGACACACAACCACACAAACACACAACCACACAGAGACACAGACACACAGACACACAACCACACAGATACACAGACGCACACCCACACAGACGCACACCCACACAGACGCACACCCACACAGACGCACAACCACACAGACGCACACCCACACAGACGCACAACCACACAGACGCACAACCACACAGACACACAACCACACAGACGCACAACCACACAGACGCACAACCACACAGACGCACACCCAAACAGACACACAACCACACAGACACACAACCACACAGACACACAGACACACAACCACACAGACACACAACCAAACAGACACACAGCAACACAGACGCACAACCACACAGACACACAACCACACAGACACACAGACACACAACCACACAGACACACAACCACACAGACACACAACCACACAGACACACAGACACACAACCACACAGACACACAACCACACAGACACACAGACACACAGCCACACAGACACACAACCACACAGACACACAACCACACAGACACACAGCAACACAGATGCACAACCACACAGACACACAACCACACAGACACACAACCACACAGACACACAACCACACAGACACACAACCACACAAACACACAACCACACAGAGACACAGACACACAGACACACAACCACACAGATACACAGACGCACACCCACACAGACGCACACCCACACAGACGCACACCCACACAGACGCACAACCACACAGACGCACACCCACACAGACGCACACCCACACAGACGCACAACCACACAGACGCACAACCACACAGACACACAACCACATAGACGCACAACCACACAGACGCACAACCACACAGACGCACACCCACACAGACACACAACCACACAGACGCACAACCACACAGACGCACAACCACACAGACACACAACCACACAGACGCACAACCACACAGACGCACACCCACACAGACGCACAACCACACAGACACACAACCACACAGACACACAGACACACAGACACACAACCACACAGACACACAGACACACAGACGCACAACCACACAGACGCACAACCACACAGACGCACAACCACACAGACGCACAACCACACAGACACACAACCACACAGACGCACAGACACACAACCACACAGACACACAGACACACAGACACACAACCACACAGACACACAGACACACAGACACACAACCACACAGACACACAGACACACAGACGCACAACCACACAGACGCACAACCACACAGACGCACAACCACACAGACGCACAACCACACAGACGCACACCCACACAGACGCACAACCACACAGACGCACAACCACACAGACGCACAACCACACAGACGCACAACCACACAGACACACAACCACACAGACACAACAACAACAACCGCCATTCACCACTAAGTGACGGTGACGTCACCACGACGCTTGTGCCAGGCTATGTGCACAGACACACGACCACACAGACATACGACCACACAGACACACAACCACACAGACACACAACCACACAGACACACAGACACACAACCACACAGACGCACAACCACACAGATAACGCCAATTTTCCACCACACTTAACCACACACATAACCACACAACCACACACACACACAACCATAAACCTGTACACACACACAACCATACACCTGTACAGACACACAACCACACTAACTTACAGACACACAACCCAACAGACACACAGCCAAACAGATACACAGATACACGATCATACAGACACACAATCACATGACTGCACAGGCACACGATCATACAGATACACAACCATTGACTCGAACAATCCCGTGAGTAGTGCTGTGCTGTTATGAAGCGTTGCATGATGTCGTTTGAAGTGGTGTAATATGGCGCGGTGCGATGTGGCGTGGTGCGGTATGGTGTGGCCGGGAGATGACGCATTGTAGTGTGACGTCAAATCACGTGGAGGAGCGTGGGGTGTGGCGGGGCGCGGTGTGGCGGAGGGTGGCACCATGTGGAATGACTCGTCATGTCAGAGTGTGGTGTGGCACGGCGTAACGTGGCATTGTGCGCCCTGGTGTCCAGCGGTGCGGTGTGCCATGCGGTGAGCCGCATACATCCTTGGCCTGCTCCTCCTGCTCCTCGTCTTTGCTCGCGTTGAGCGACGTCTCCTCCGAGTAGTAGAGGCAGTTGCTCGTCAGCACGAAGAAGTGCGGATTCCATTCCTGAACAGCAACACCGCGATCGTTGTCACAACGCCAAGATCGCCATCACTGCACATTCGTGCCTGGCTAACCACGTCCATGACACCGTCCAACCGAGTGACCGTTCCACGAAGCATCTCTGCGTCCCCGCTCACCTTGTACAGGGGGTCCTCCAGGTACATGATGCCGTTCTTTATCGAGTCGCTGATGTCGTACTCCGAGCTGGAATGGTCCTCCGACAGCTGGTGGTCGATGGTTTTATGCTGGGAGACACAGGCGTGGGGCAGAGACGCGGACATCACCGCGGTGCGATCCGCAATCGCTTTCAGGTTGCATCGCCGCGCCGAGTTAAGTGTGCGTCGTACAAACCCCCCTCTCCTCCTCCGCTCGGCGGAGCGACCCGCTCCACACTCGACAAATTGGGTGCGGGCGCTTCGCTGGAACGTCGCAGCCGAGCGTCGTCGTGGGGCAGTTGTCGGAAATAGTGAAAATGTCCTCCAGTCTGGGGCCATGTCGCCCTCACGCAGTCTGACTCGGCGCAGTGGGACCCACTCCTCTCAACGTCGGCCATTATTGGTTCCGCGAAACCGGTCGTTAAGCAAATATTGGAAATACCCGTTAAAGGCTTGATTCATTCTGATAGCATCGAAAGTTATCTGTTTCCACCAAAAAAACGTACTCTATCACATGTAAACAATGGGTATTAATAAATAAAGATACTAACAACGGTATAAACACATAATATTAAAATAAACACGGTTAATCAATGCATTACCTAATATTTACTGTACCTACAATAGCCCGTACGTGAACAAGGGAATGGTTGGTAAGCGAACACATTGGGCTCTATGGAGGCACTATACTACTATATACACTACACTACTATACACTACACTACTATACACTACGCTATACACTACACTACTACACACTGCTATGTACACTACACTCCTATACACGACACTACTATACACTACGCTATACACTACACTACAATACACTACACTACTATGTACACTACACTCCTATACACGACACTACTATACACTACGCTGTGCACTACACTACTATGTACACTACACTACACACTACACTACTATACACGACACTACTATACACTCCACTATCTGGCGAGCGGAATCAGGTGAGCGGTGTCTGGTTGCAGGTGAGTGGCGAGCGTGCCTTTGACCGACCCACGAGCAGAGCTCGTTAACACGTGCTGCAGTAACAGTAACACGCGCTGCGTTACAACACGAGCTGCGGTAACACGCGCTGCGTTACAACACGCGCTGCAGTCACACGCGCTGCAGTAACACGTGCTGCAGTAACACGCGCTGCGTTACAACACGCGCTGCGTTACAACACGCGCTGCGGTAACACACGCTGCAGTAACACACGCTGCAGTAATACGCGCTGCGGTAACACGCGCTGCGGTAACACACGCTGCGGTAACACACGCTGCGGTAACACACGCTGCGGTAACACACGCTGCGGTAACACGCGCTGCATTACAACACGCGCTGCAGTAACACGCGCTGCGGTAACACGCGCTGCGTTACAACACGCGCTGCAGTAACACGCGCTGCGGTAACACGCGCTGCGTTACAACATGCGCTGCAGTAACACGCGCTGCGGTAACACGCGCTGCGTTACAACACGCGCTGCGGTAACACACGCTGCAGTAACACGCGCTGCGTTACAACACGCGCTGCAGTAACACACGCTGCGTTACAACACGCGCTGCAGTAACACGCGCTGCGGTAACACGCGCTGCGTTACAACACGCGCTGCAGTAACACGCGCTGCGGTAACACACGCTGCGTTACAACACGCGCTGCGGTAACACACGCTGCGTTACAACATGCGCTGCAGTAACACGCGCTGCAGTAACACACGCTGCGTTACAACACGCGCTGCAGTAACACGCGCTGCGGTAACACGCGCTGCGGTAACACACGCGCTGCGGTAACACACGCTGCGTTACAACATGCGCTGCAGTAACACGCGCTGCAGTAACACGCGCTGCGTTACAACACACGCTGCGGTAACACACGCTGCAGTAACATGCGCTGCGTTACAACACGCGCTGCGGTAACACACGCTGCAGTAACACACGCTGCAGTAACACGTGCTGCAGTAACACACGCTGCAGTAACACACGCTGCAGTAACATGCGCTGCGGTAACACACGCTGCGTTATAACATGCGCTGCGTTACAACACGCGCTGCGGTAACACACGCTGCGGTAACACGCGCTGCGATATCTGCGACGTTATCACAGCAGCAGCAGCAGCTGCCGTTGTTGTCGTTGTTGTTGGTGGTAGTGGTGGTGGTGGCAGCGGTACCTTGATGATGATCTTGCCCTTGAGCTGGCTGGGCGAGGGCAGCTCGTCGCCGTGCGTCTCCAGCGGCCGTGTCAGCAGCATGTCCCCAAACACCTTGCGGAAGATGTCGGCCATCACCTGCTGCTGGGCCAAGCTGCAGTGCTGCTCGATGGACAGGATGAGCGGGAATCTGCGGGAGAGAGCCGAGGGAAAGCGGGGGGAGAGCGGGGGGAGAGCAGGGGGAGAGCAGGGGGAGAGAGCGGGAAGGGGGGGGCGAGTGGGGGAGTGCGCGGGGCGCCAATGTCAGTGGTGATCAGAGCTAAAAATTGAGATCTGTGAATTTCTTTTTCACGGGTCAAAAAGTATAGGTAAGTCAGAAAGTCACTCAATATAGATGCAAATAAATATAAAGTATAGAAGTACATCAATACCTTCAGATTTGTCAATACCAAATGCAATCTTGGGGAACAGCAAAATAACAACAAAAACAGCCCCTGATCACACCAAGACACGATAAGCCACTTCGTAGATCCTCATCGCTACCAGAATCAGGACGGACAGCATCACCATCAGGTCGCGTGGGGGGTGAGAGGTCATTAGAGTTAGAGGTCACGTGGGGGTCAGAAGCTACCAGAGGTCGTTAGAGTATTGCGGGGCTGAGAGGCCAATCGAGGGAGAGGTCACGAGAGAGTGAGAAGTCCTGTGGGGGTGAGAGGTCATCAGAGCGAGAGGATCTGTGGGATTCAGAGGTCACGAGAGGTCGTGAGAGTGTGCGAGGGGGCCCGGCACGGAGACGCACTCGGAGGTGGTGAAGGCATGCTGCTTGATGGTGAACACGACATCCGAGAAGCCGATCTTGGTGGTGAGCGTGTGCCCGTGGTAGATGATGGGCATGTTGTCCGGCCCATCCCAGCAGTCCACTGCGAAAACAAAGAAAAAAGTACCCCCCCGCCGCGTAGCCCACATACTTTGTGAGGGCAAGTGCCGTTTGCGGGTCGCCTATGAAAGCCGGCGTGGAAACACGGGTCTCCGCCGGGTCGGCGGCGCGGCTCGCCGACTGCTGCGCCACCGCTCCCCACCGAGCGAGCGTACGGACGCAGAGCGGCGTCGCTCCCCGCCGGGCGAGGCACTCACGCTCGATGCAGCGGCATCCCATGCGCAGGCAGCGTGCGTACGCCTCCGTGGACGACTCGCTGGAGATCTGGTCCCCCGTCAGGTACCTGCACAGAGCCCGCGGCGGGCAGAGGGCCAAACCCGGGCAAGAGGAGAGAGCATGGCGGTGAGCGTGGCGGTGAGCATGGCGGTGAGCGTGGCGGTGAGCATGGCGGTGAGCGTGGCGGTGAGCGTGGCGGTGAGCGTGGCGGTGAGCATGGCGGTGAGCATGGCGGTGAGCGTGGCGGTGAGCATGGCGGTGAGCGTGGCGGTGAGCATGGCGGTGAGCGTGGCGGTGAGCGTGGCGGTGCGTGGCGGTGAGCGTGGCGGTGCGTGGCGAGAGTCGGCGGGTGAGTGTGGCGGTGCGTGGTGAGCGTGGCGCACGGACGTGTTGTGTGAGGAGGAGATGAAGTAGTGAGAGAGGGGGTTGTTGAGGTCCTCGGGGTGGAGCTGCTCCAACTGCTGGTCCCACACGCTGTTCTCCCATGAGAAGAGGAAGTCCAGGAACTGCGCGCGCGACACACGGCGTACACCTCGCAGTGACACAGCGTCACTCGCAGTTCCACTCACAGTGCCACTCACAGTGTCACAGTGCCACTCACAGTGTCACTCAAGTGTCATTCACTGTGTCACTCCACTCACACCGCCACAGAGTGACACAGCGTGTCACCGACACCGTCGCTCACTCGTGCCATGACTGACACAGCCACACAGCGACATTGGCACTTGCTCACGAAAACAGCTAACCACTCCCCCACTCGATCGCCCCTCCACTCGCTCGCATCACCGTCGGAGGATGAGGTGCACTGAGGATGTCACCGCGTCAGAAGGTGACCCATAAGGAGGTGAGGCGACCCAACGATAAGAGGATCAAGTAATGAGGTGACTAAAGAGGTAACCGAGTGAGGGGGTAGCTCAAGGGGGAGATGGTGCAATGAGGTCACAAAAATGATGGGTCAATGAATAAGCGGATGGCCCAGTGAGCCGATGACATAGCGAGAAGGTGACACGGTGAAGAGGTCCCTCAGTGACTCGATGACACCGTAAAGAGGTGGCCACATAGCTCAGCGATTCAGTGGGAGGGTGCCCCACGGAGGAAGTGACACAGTCAGGAGATTTCACTCAATGACCTGGAGGGAGAGGAGGGGACGGAGTAGGGGGCGAGGGGAGGGGGCACCTCGTGGGGTTTGAAGTAGGCCCCGTCCTGGCTGCGCTTGGGGTCCGGCAGCACCTTGTTCATGAAGTTCCGCACTCGCTGCAGGTCGGCCGCCCACGCCTCCTGCAGCGGTCGCGGCAGCGGCGGCAGCGGCGGCAGCGGCGTCAGCGGCGTCAGGGCCAATGGAGCGAGGGAGTGGAATCGTGGAACCGTGGAATCGCATCACAAGGGGCGAACGAGGCCGCCGAAGGTCGCTCTGCGCGAGTCCCAGGCGAAGGGGCTCGCCCGCCAAAAACGTCGCCTTGCAGTCTTAAGCGCTACGGCCGCGTCCGTTGTGTTCGTCGTCGTGTGCGTAGAAGCGAGGGCCCGGGGCGGAGGCCGACTCACCTTCTGGTCGAACAAGAGGAACCGCTGGAAGTCCATGATGGTGATGGTGTCCCTGTGCGGGCGAGAGAGAGAGAGGGAGGGAGGGAGGGAGGGAGGGAGGGGGCGACGGAATCAGACCCCCGGCCCCGTGCCGCCATCGCCGCACTCGCCCGGCCGCTCACGGCCACGCGGCAGCACCGCGGCGTGCGATGGCGGAGGACGAGGAGGGGGGACGAGGAGGGGGGAGGAGGGGAGGGGAGGAGGAGGAGGGGGGACGAGGAGGGGGGACGAGGCGGAGTGAGGAGGCGGCTCGTGGCTCCGGTTTTTAAACCTGCTCCAACCTGGAGGCACGAGGCGACGCTCGCAAGGAGGTGATGGGAGGCAGCGCGTGGAGAGGTGCAGGGAGGGGTGGAGCAGAGGAGGTGGAGAGGGGACAGCGAACAGTGGGAAGAGGTTGAGGCAGTGGAGGTGGAAGATGTTCGAAGCCAGGAGCCAATTTCGTGAGAACCCCGGAGGCGGCGGTCGCCGTTTGTCACGACGAGTCGAGCTGCGGGGAAATCATCGCCCACTGTGGCTCGCTCTCCTCCAGCACTCACTCGTCTGGCCTGGTGGCTCAGCTGCAGATGAGCAGCTCGCAATCAGAAGGTCGCGAGTTCAAATTCTGGTTGGAAGTGGGCGGGGGGGGGGGCGACTCATCCTTCCGGAGGTCGATAAAACGAACACCACTCTGACGGGAAGTCAACGGTGGTTGTCCTACGTGATGACTCGTCCCAGCCATAGGAATGCGGAATTTTAGGCCACTTGGCTTGGGGGCTTGTAAACAGGCGAAGGGCGCCAACGGCTTCGACGGTTCGTGCTAGCAGGAGAGCGCTCTGCAGTTCACTCGGCCGTGGTGGGGTGGGGGGGTGGGGACCGCGGGGTCGTTACCGGAGCACGAACGACACCGTGGGCTGGTCGCTGCGGTCCGTGATCTGCGGCAAGATCTGGAGTGGAACGGAGAAGAGGTGCGGGCACCGCAGAGGTCAGAGGGCGGGCGCCACGCACGCCGTGGCATCGCGTGGCACCCGGTGACATCACCGTCGTTAGCACGAAGATGTCACGTGAGATATCTCGTACAAAGAGATCATGTAAAACCCCGAAATACAAAGATCCCCCGTGTGGCCTTTAACAGACTGTTGGGGCAAGTGCTGTTAGCGTGTCAACCTGTCAAGGCCGGCTCGGCAGACTCGGACGTATTGGTATCACCAATGCTGAAGTTTAACACACCGCACCAGGTACTCGTTTAAGATGGAGTCGACCTAGGGGAGGCCCAGCACCAGTTCAGATATTCGCCACTAGTATTGGTCGTAGCACAGTGTGCTAACCACTACACTGCCGCTCCCCACTGCACTGCAATGCACACACAGCTACTTCAACAGATATCGTAAAGACACATGCATCAACATGTACAAGTGTCGGTGTGCACACAAACGCAGACCGGCCCGTCTGCTCGGAGAGGGCGACTCGCAATCGGAAGGGTCAGGAATTCAAATCCTTGCCATCGTGGCCTCTGGGATCGATATAATTGCGGCTATAGCCAAGGGCTCAATGCCCGTGCGAGGTCACTGTGGGATTTGGCGTTGGCCGTCTCGACGCCCGTGGGCTGCGAGGCCGTGATGCCGACGCACCGACTTCTGCTCGTCGAACAGGAGGTTGACGTAGAACTGGGAGAACTTCTCGAACGAAATCGTCCCGTCCTTGGTCTCCACGGCCTGGACGCGGCACGTACAGGGGGACAGCAGCGAGCGTCTGTCAGGCAGTACACAGACCGCCCGTTCCCTCGCTTCGACGCCGCGTTCAACCACCACACGACAGGGTCACAACAAGCACTCACCCACTCACTCACTCACCCACTCACTCACTCATCCACTCACTCACCCACTCACTCACTCACTCACCCACCCACACTCTAACTCACTCACTCATCCACACACTAACCCACACACCCACTCACTCACCCACTCACTCAACCACTCACCCTCCCACTCACTCACTCACCCACTCACTCACCCACTCACTCACTCACCCACTCACACTCACACAACCCATTGACCCAATTATTTCACTGTGGTGGTAGGGTTGCCACCTTTGAGCAAAAAAAAAAGAAAACCCGGGACAACAACATCGGAGGAAGAATATCTGACAATAGCAAAAGAGCAGAGAACTACGTTGTGAATCATCACGAGCGTTACTCTCATCTGGGTTACCCCGCAACTGACAAAGGCCCGGGGAACTGACGTCCCGGGAACCCGAGCAGATTCCCCAGGACGGCAGCCGCATACTCGGGCAAGCTCACGGTCCCGGGAATAATGAAACAACAACAACAACAACACAGAAGCAGGTGGTAACTGAACGTGGTGGGGAAGGCACAACGCTCGTGCAGAGCCTCCGCGTAAATCTCCGCGAGACTCGGAGTGGAACCGGTGGGGGGGGGGGGACGAACATCCCGCCGTCTCTCGCTGGCACGAGTTGTTTTCTCTCGCTCTGCTCTCTGAGCCAAGCGACACCGTGTTCATTTGAGTACGATCTGCACGTAACCGGCACAAATCGTAAACGGTCGTCCGCGCGCGTCCCTTTCAGTGGGCGGATCGATCCACCGCTCCGCGCGCCGTGTGTGGAGGTCCGGGTAGATGCGTCTGGGGTAGCCCCACCTTAAATAGGGGGGGGGGGGTCATTGGGGGGGGGGGGGGGGTCGAGAGCAGGGATCGAGACTCTTCCATCAGGGGTCAGCCGCCCTCCGCACCCTCTCTCACCCTGATCCGATCTTTGAGCACCTTGGGGTTCGTTGCTTTGTAGTTCAACTGGGACAGCATCATCTTGAGCTCCTTCTCTGTGATGCTGCAGCCGGGGCGGGGGAGGGCAGAGGGGGGGGGGGCACTCAGCAACGCCGCAAATGAAAATGGGACACAGCAGGCAGGAGCCAAACTGGGCAGCGCGCAGGGGAGGTAGCCAGGGTGGGGGTGGACTCCCCGAGCGAGCCAGATGCTCGCCCTTCCCCTAGCCGACAAGCCAGCGACGAGCCAATCAGCTTCCAGGGCTAGCCTGCCCACTGGCCCTTTAACTGGCCACGTGTACGAGCCCGACTCCGAACCACGTAAGCAACCAGCCACGAGTACTCAGCCCGGCTCTGACCCGAACCCACGAGCCAACCAGATGATAACTCCCCCAGCAGAAACTCGTAATCAGAATCTTTATCTGTCCTGGAAAAATCCGATGAGCTTTGAAGCTCTTTTTCTCACAGATGTCCAGCAATCTCACAGATGTCCACAAACATTTTTTTTTCACCCGGTACACCACGGCCAGTATATCTCCTACCACGGTTGTGACACGTAAACACGTGCCTCCGCCGATCGATGAGCGACCCACCCCCTCCCTCCACCGTCGCTGCGCGCTGCGTTTAGCGACGGTGGCGGTCTCGCGTCTATTTGTGGAAGAGCCGCGGAGTCGAAAGCCCAAAAACGGGGAAGTTGCGCCGCTCTGTCAGCGGTGAGCAGCCCGGCCAGGGAGGCTGCCTGGCTCCAGGAGGCAAGGGCGGGGTGGGGGTGGGACAAGGCCCTCACAGAGGGACGGACAGCGCATGCCTTGGACACCGACATTCCCATTCCTGACTTTTGTCGCCGTTGTAAATCTCCGACAAATGTGACGGGGGGAATCAGAGAGGGTGCCACCCGTCGTGTTGGAGAACAGCCCACGGAAGTTCACATCACGGAGCTACCTCTGAGATCTCTTCCGCTGACCTGCCCCTACTGGTCATCGGTGAAAACACATCTTTATCGCTCATCAGATTCCCCCAGTGTCAATAAATATTCTGATTCTGTTTCTGACATGTGCTTCACGCAGTACGGGCTAGTGGTTTCCTACCATCTTGCTACAGAGAGTGATGCCCATCGTACGACACGCAAACCGATTGATTGTTTTGTTGTTGTTGTCGTGAAATCGTCGGTGACCGGCTCGACCCCCATCGCCTCGCTCGACCTGAGAATCCGGTTTAATCGCGGGCGGCCGGAACCTGGATCCAGTGCCAGGATCTCAGCGGCGCCGTGCCCCGCTCACACCTGAGCCCCCCCTCGCCACCTCCCCTCCCTCGAGGTTGAGCTCGGACTGGTCAACGGCGAGCGACGGCGCTGGGGGCTGTGTTGCCATGGGGGGGGGGGGGGGGGTGCGCAATTCGTGAACCGCGGCTGTGCGGAGGCCGCCGCGTTACCACTTGGTGCTTGGCTTCTGCAGGGGGATGAACTGTTTCTGCAGCCACCTGGGGGTGGAGGGGGGAGTGAGGGGAGTGGGCGGGCGGGGGCGGGCAGGTTGGAGAAGGGGGGTGGGGGGGGGCACAGTGAGTGAAGCTTTCGAGGGAACGGAGCGGCATGTGAAGCCCCATTCCTCTCTCGGCGCCTTGACGCGCGGTGGCCGCTCTCGTACAGGCAGAAGGCCACGAGGCTGCGTCACCCGATCTCCCCCCCTCATCTCCCTCCTCTCTCCTCCGACCATGAGGTTATCTGGCGCAGAAGCCCTGGTGCACAGGAGGGTCAACCAAGGAGCCACGAGGAGCCTCGCGGCCCAGCAGGTGCGCCAACTCTCAGGTCGTTATTGCTGCCCGCTGGACACGGAACGTCGGCCCAACGATCACAACCACATGGCAAAGTTGGGTCCATCTGTGTGGGGGGTGAAATATGGGAGGTTATAGAGGGGGGTAATCACCACTCAGTCTGGATGGACGTTGGGGCCTTGGCACAGTCTTCCATGAGGAACTTGAGGCCGTTCATCCACTTGTTCACCTCTTTCCTATCCACGGCTGTGGGGATGAGGGGAGGAGAGGGGGGGCACATCAGTGACGCAACCTCCAGTGGATGTTCTCAAGCACACAAATCCTTCCGCTCTCCTTGGATGTACCCTGCGCTGGGTGCTGAGTGTTCTGGGTGCCGTAGTCTGACTGCTGCACAATGAGCTCTGACTGCTGCACACTGAGCTCTGACTGCTGCACGCTGAGTTGTGACTGCTGCACGCTGAGTTGTGACTGCTGCACACTGAGTTCTGACTGCTGCACCCTGAGTTCTGACTGCTGCACGCTGTGCTCTGACTGCTGCACACCAAGTTCTGACTGCTGCACGCTGAGTTCTGACTGCTGCACGCTGAGTTGTGACTGCTGCACGCTGTGCTCTGACTGCTGCACACTGAGTTCTGACTGCTGCACGCTGAGTTGTGACTGCTGCACGCTGAGTTGTGATTGCTGCACGCTGAGCTCTGACTGCTGCACACTGAGTTGTGACTGCTGCACACTGAGTTGTGACTGCTGCACGCTGAGTTGTGACTGCTGCACACTGAGCTCTGACTGCTGCACGCTGAGTTGTGACTGCTGCACACTGAGTTGTGATTGCTGCACGCTGAGCTCTGACTGCTGCACACTGAGTTCTGACTGCTGCACTCTGAGTTCTGACTGCTGCACGCTGAGCTCTGACTGCTGCACGCCGAGTTCTGACTGCTGCACGCCGAGTTCTGACTGCTGCACACTGAGTTCTGACTGCTGCACGCTGAGTTCTGACTGCTGCACACTGTGCTCTGACTGCTGCACGCTGAGTCCTGACTGCTACACACTGAGTTCTGACTGCTGCACGCTGAGTTCTGACTGCTGCGTGCTGAGTTCTGACTGCTGCGTGCTGAGTTCTGACTGCTGCACTCTGAGTTCTGACTGCTACACACTGAGTTGTGACTTCTGCACGCCGAGTTCTGACTGCTGCACACTGAGTTCTGACTGCTGCACGCTGAGTTCTGACTGCTGCATGCTGAGTTCTGACTGCTGCGTGCTGAGTTGTGACTGCTGCACGCTGTGCTCTGACTGCTGCACACTGAGTTCTGACTGCTGCACACTGAGTTGTGACTTCTGCACGCTGAGTTCTGACTGCTGCACTCTGAGTTCTGACTGCTGCACGCTGAGTTCTGACTGCTGCATGCTGAGTTCTGACTGCTGCGTGCTGAGTTGTGACTGCTGCACACTGTGCTCTGCTGCTGCACACTGAGTTCTGACTGCTGCACACTGAGTTCTGACTGCTGCACACTGAGTTCTGACTGCTGCACACTGAGTTCTGACTGCTGCACGCTGAGTTGTGACTGCTGCGGGTGCCGAGCTGCACTCACTGCCTCCCTGCTGGCTGGCGAGGCTGAGCGTCTTGAGGCGGAACTCGCTGCCGTAGAAGATGACGAGGCACAGCGAGTCGTCGATGTCGTCTCCGCAGCGCTCGAAGTCCCGCGACTGTTTCCCATTGCGGATCTCCTTGATCTCGCGGATGTCGACTGCCGAGCAAGAGAGGGAGCGGTGAACGTGGGGGGGGGGGGGGGGGGGGGCGCGACTCCCACGGAGCACGCAGCCCCCAACCGGGAGCACGCAGCCCCCAACCGGGAGCACGCAGCCCCCAACCGGGAGCACCCCGAGTCGCGGAGTACACAGACAGCAACACCACCACCCACATCTGTCCCCCACCCACCACCATCACTCCCCCACATCTGTCCCCCTCCACCACCACCCCCCACATCTGCCGCTCCAATATCTGCCCTTTCACACGCAAAAATAAAAAAGATAATTTGTGTTACACGTGGTCAGGATCAGAATGTTTACTTAGACTGCAGGAGGAATCCGATGAGCTGTGAAGCTCTTTGTTATTCAGAGATGTTCAGTCTGGGGCGGGTCAGCGAGTAACAACAGCGAGCAATACGAGCAGCACAGTAGGAGTGCAACATTGGGAAAAAGGTGAGCGAGCAATTAATTAGAAATACATTACAAGTAACATGTTTAGTATAAGTCCGATTGACCAAGCTTGGGCAAGGCAGAAACAACAACAACAACAAAGCGCTCCCAGAGCACACCAAGATAACACCGCACAGTAGTTCCTCAATTGAATGGCACAGTAACATTGAACCATCGCATCAGCCGCGCCACGTTCTGGGAGGGACGTGTCATTTGAGCAGCATTGCTTCAAAGCAGGCAAACTCTGCACCGGGTTCGACTCGCAGCGTCTCGTCAGCCAAATCGCACCAGCGCTGGCCAACTGCGAGGCGTAGTTGTGCCATGGTCCACACTCTGCGGTCAGAGTGGACCAGGGTACAACTGCGAGGCGCAGTTGTACCCTGGTCCATTGGCAGCGTGGCGCGTTCTCACACTCTGCGGTCAGAGTGCAACATTCACCAAACTGTAGACGCCGGCTGGTTGTCCGCGAGTGGTCAAGGGCACAGTACGTGGGCGCTCGAGGAACCGCAGGGCCCACCAACCCCCCCCCCCTCCGCCCGCCTGGGTCAGGACTCGAACCTCCACGTCTCTGTCCGCTTCTGCTCTCCTCGCGCCGAGCCGCCCACGAGTGGACGGCTCGGTGCGCAGCTCGGGCTGTCGCTCGGGACAACTAACACCGAGACCCAGTCTGCTGCTTCCAATCGGTCTGTCGGGGCCTTCCAGACCTGTATTTAACAAAGGCGGCATTTGTTCAGGCACGGAAACCCTGCGGCCCGGTCTCCACATTCTGGGTCGCATCAACAGGGTCAGGCTCACTGAGACAAATACTCCCGGATGTATCGGCAAGGGCGCTCCGCCTTCCAAACACGTGGGCCCTCTGGGAGTCCGTTTTTGGATGCGGAGATACAACACTGATTTGGTCATTTTATGACCCAGGCCTTTTCCAGAAGAGCGCAAATCACTGCCGTGGGAATTGCCCCCTTTGGCCGTGAGGTCTTTCACCCTCGCGAACTTTACCCCCCCCCCCCCGTGCCCCGCCCCCCACCTCCAATCTCTACGTGCCTCCCACAAGCACCGATCTCCTCTCTCGGGACCAAAGGTGAGAGCTCACAAGGGGCCGTCCATAATTGACGCCACGCGATATTGGCCGATTTTTTACCCCTACCCCCCCCCCCTCGTCACACGGCGTCACAAAAAGTCAGACCACCGTCAAATATGACGTCACAAAGCTCTGCCCCCACCCCCAAAACCATATTTCCATTTAGAAAATAAAACATGCTTCAAATCACTTTAAACTATTGTCATTGTAGTGCGTATTTAATGTGGCGCTGCACTCTGGTGTTGTAGGAGAAAACATGTATTTAAAAGGAGGCGTTTGAAAGCTGAAATTTAGCATAAAATTCACTTGAAAATATTCAACGTCTAACTAAAACTGCAGATGTTCAGAATATTATATTGAAATTATCTTATAATTATAAAATATTTAAAGTAATTATAAAAAATACTTGAAACTTTGTAGTATAACTAAGCAAAATGTAGAGTATAATGATAACAATCATATATTTATTCCACAGAATGAAAAGCCCTGGTAGAATCATTAAAATAAAAATGTTTAATAACAATTATTACAATTTTTTACAAAATGTTTGCTTCTCCATTCTCCCATGGAGAAGCAAAATGCTCCTTCATGGAATAAATAAAAGGTGACCTTAGTAAATTTAAATAATCAAATAGTTAATAATGAAAATTAATCAAAACTAGTGTTGTTATAACAATTATATTGTTTATATTTATTTAAAGTTGCGCATTTTTATGTGACGTCACATTTCTCAACCCCCCTCCCTCGTCACACATCGTAACAAATATCTGACCCCCTCCCCCCCCCTAGGTGTGTGACGTCATTTATGGACGGCCCCCAAGTCACCCCGAGGGAATGTCTGATACTTTGCAACACGGCCTATGGTGCCAACAATAAGGGCCATTTCTTGGAACGTCGCCTATTATACGTTTGACCTTGTGTTTTAAGGCCATGCGGCGTGATTCACGAATATGTTGGGGTTCTCTGGAACCTTCTGGGAACGTCCCGGCCAAACATTAGATCTGACGGATTCGCGCTGTTTAACGATAACCGGTAAGCTGGTAATCGTTTTTCAAAATCCACGAGCGGTTCTGAAAGTCAGGAAGTCATCGATCGTCGCCGTGGTAAATGTCGTCATGAAATCACCGACAGGCATGCGCGAAAGTACATACGGCACGGCGGCCGAAGTCACAGCGAGACAAAGGCGGCCGGGCGTGGCGCTGGCCACCCACCCCCTCGTGTGCCCTGTCGGCCTTCCTCTGCCCTCGCTAACAGCACTTGCCACACAAGTCGTTTAAGGCTATACGGGGGATATTTGTCTTTGTGTGTTTTTGTATATGTGTATATGTGTGTATGTGTAAATGAGTGTGTGTATATGTGTGTGTGTATGTGTGCGTATGTGTGTATGTGTGTATGTGCGTATGTGCGTGTAAGTGACGAATATCTGAACGGCCCTGGACCTACCCCTAGGTCGACTCCGCCTTAAATTAGCACCTGGCGAGGCGTGTAAACATCATCATTTGGGGAGACAAAGACGGCCGGGCGTGGTGCTGACCGCTCACCCGCCTCGTGTGCCGTGCCGGCCTTCACAGGTGCTACTCGCTAACAGCACTTGCCCCAACAGTCTGTGAAGGCTACACGGGGATCTTTGTTTTTGTGTTCGTAGGTGCTACTCTCTAACAGCACTTGCCTCAACAATCTGTGAAGGCTATACGAGGGATCTTTGTTTTTGTGTGTTCGTAGGTGCTACTCGCTAACAGCACTTGCCCCAATAGTCTGTGAAGGCTACACGGGGTATCTTTGTCTTTGTGTGTGTTCGTAGGTGCTACTCGCTAACAGCACTTGCCCCAACAGTCTGTGAAGGCTACACGGGGATCTTTGTCTTTGTGTGTGTTCGTATGTGCTACTCGCTAACAGCACTTGCCCCAACAGTCTGTGAAGGCTACACAGGGGCCTTTGTTGGAGAAAAAAGCAGAAATGGTCGAGATCTGTACGGGCAGCACTTCCCCTGGGCTCGTGGAGGGAGGGAGGGAGGGATGGAGGAGGGGGCCACCCATTTACCCGAGCGCGGATGCGAGTTCTCGCGAGCGTTCACCCTCAGCAACTGGCTCCCACAGCACACCCACTCGCAGGATCCCTCCTCACAGTCGTCACTCGCAATAGCATTAGCGCAACGAGGACTATTCTTGTACCAACTCTGAACCTTAGCCGAAATCTATCCTCCTAAGCCTAACATCGAAGCACTCCCCCATCCTTCACCATTCCCCCTTATTATTGTCCCTGCCCTTGCCTCCAACCCTGCCCTTACCTCTAACCCTGCCCTTGCCTCTAGCCTTGCCTCCAACCCTGCCCTTGCCTCTAGCCTTGACTCCAACCCTGCCCTTGCCTCTAGCCTTGACTCCAACCCTGCCCTTACCTCTAACCCTGCCATTGCCTCTAGCCTTGCCTCCAACCCTGCCCTTGCCTCTAGCCTTGACTCCAACCCTGCCCTTGCCTCCAACCCTGCCCTTGCCTCCAACCCTGCCCTTGACTCTAACCCTGCCCTTGCCTCTAACCCTGCCCTTGACTCTAACCCTGCCCTTGCCTCCAACCCTGCCCTTGACTCTAACCCTGCCCTTGCCTCCAACCCTGCCCTTGCCTCCAACCCTGCCCTTGACTCTAACCCTGCCCTTGCCTCCAACCCTGCCCTTGCCTCCAACCCTGCCCTTGACTCTAACCCTGCCCTTGCCTCCAACCCTGCCCTTGACTCTAACCCTGCCCTTACCTCTAACCCTGCCCTTGCCTCTAACCCTGCCCTTGACTCCAACCCTGCCCTTGCCTCCAACCCTGCCCTTGCCTCCAACCCTGCCCTTGACTCTAACCCTGCCCTTGCCTCCAACCCTGCCCTTGACTCTAACCCTGCCCTTACCTCTAACCCTGCCCTTGACTCTAGCCCTGCCCTTGACTCTAGCCCTGCCCTTGACTCTAACCCTGCCCTTGACTCTAACCCTGCCCTTGACTCTAACCCTGCCCTTACCTCCAACCCTGCCCTTACCTCTAACCCTGCCCTTGCCTCTAACCCTGCCATTGACTCTAACCCTGCCCTTACCTCTAACCCTGCCCTTGCCTCTAGCCTTGACTCCAACCCTGCCCTTGCCTCTAGCCTTGACTCCAACCCTGCCCTTGCCTCTAGCCTTGACTCCAACCCTGCCCTTGCCTCTAGCCTTGACTCCAACCCTGCCCTTGACTCTAACCCTGCCCTTACCTCTAACCCTGCCCTATCCTCTAGCCCTGCCCTTGCCTCTAACCCTGCCCTTGCCTCTAGCCCTGCCCTTACCTAGCCTCTAGCCCTGCCCTATCCGCTAAGTTTAACTGAAACCCATTAGAACCTTCGCTTGCCTCCATCTCTATCCCACGAGCCTAACAATTCTCCTAATCTCTCCGCCAAATCTATGCCCCGAGCCGAACCGCGAAACCAAGCTGAGTTCGCTGCCCCCGAGACCGCGCAACTCCGGACCGCGGAGAGGAGAAGCGACGAGAGGGAGGCAGGGAGGAGGAGAGGGAGGAGGAGAGGGAGGATGAAGAGGAGGGAGCGGAGAGATTAGGAGAATGATAAGGAAGACAGGGGAGGGAGGAGCGTGTCTAGAAGAGAAAGTGGAGCAAACGAGAAGTCAGGCTCCTCATGCACACCCTGACAGACCGCTCCCGCCTCACTCCCGTCTCACGGACGGGGCCCACGCCAGAGCGAGTGGCTGCCGCCAGCAGCAAGCAGCACCACTCTGCCGAGACCCACGGGGGCCTGGGGACCAGCGGGGGGCCTCCCCCCATCCCCCCATCCCCCGAGGACACCCACGTGCCCCCCTCCTGCCCCCCCCCCCACCATTTCCCGATTTCAAAATATTCCCCACGTGCCATCGACACGCGTACCGACTACCTCACACTGGCTACTGAGTCGACCTAGGCGAGGCCCAGGACCGATTGAGATAATTGTCACCGGTGTTGACCGTGAGCGGGAATCGAACTCTGTTCGCCGGGTTTGTGGCGCAAAGTAGCGCTAACCGCTGCCCCACCGCTCCGCACCTCCACACGCACCCCAAGCCTTGGCTCACGCACGCCTCCTCACAGCGCAGCGGACACGCACAGCCCTTTGCACCTTCACCCCTGCCCGCACGTCTTGCTTCGTGACAATGTTTAATTACCGCATACACCTTGCACACAGCCCCCATAACCCCTCCCTGTGCAGGCAGACGCAACGCGGTACGCACGACCAAGACACGATGGCGTCACGTGGAGTTGACGATGGTTGTGATGATACAGGTGGCGGGGAGCGACCAGCAGTGTCCCGAGACCCCCCCCCCCACGCACTCACCTTTCCCCTCGACGCGCTCCACCGTGCGGCTCCACACCACCTGGCGGCTCCGCATGTCCACCTGCAGGGTCCGCTTCTCGGGCCGGGCGGAGCGGCGGAACAGCGTGAGCACGGAGCCCAGCCGGAGCTCGCTCAGCACGGAGTTGGCGCTCTGCTGCTTGGGGGGGGGCCGCCACATCGTGGTGCGCGGTGGCGGCGGGGATCTTCGACTTAACGCAACCCCCCCCCGCCGGTTCCTTTGCTTCGGGTGGGAGGCTGCGTGCTGGTGACACACGGGGGCGCACACAAAGGGGGTGCCCCGAGACTATGCGATGAGCGTCACCCACCCCGGGGTGGGTTTGGAGCCGTGCGCGCTCGCCGTGTCGCCTTCACCCCCGGGCTACGCGCTGCGGGGCAATGCGAACACTTCCTGCTGCCCGGCGACCCGAGCTCACCCCACCCCCCTCGGCTCCCTCCCCCTGGGGGAATCAGCGGTAAGGATGCGTCCCAGGCGACTAGGGGGTAGCGTCTCCCCATCGCTGCCGAGATGGAGTCGCGTCGAGTCTTCCTGTGATAATGCACAATCGATTCGAGAGGTTCGGGCTGCGTAATAATTTGGCAATAGATTTCTGTTGTGAAGCCCTCCACCACCCCGACAGCCAATTACATGTCACGTGGCGTACACGCGTTTAACGTTCCGACGATTTGCGGTTTTCGCTCTCACTGGTTACGCAATATTTGACCAAATTGTTCTTCGGTGTTCGCCCACCCCGAGAACCTGACCAGCCAGGCTCACCACCTGCTTAGCTTCGAGACGAAACCCCAGAGAACACACCAGAAGGCGTTCATGATCCACTCCTGCACCGCCAACCTCCTAGGCCACGAGCCTGTGCTGTGAATTCCACATTCCGATCGCGCAGGCGAGTTCAGCCAACACAGCCAGTGGCCCCCAGACCTGGATGCGAACCCGTGCCCCCCCCCTGTGCGGCGCCAGGGAATTCGAGCTCAAGACACAGACGTCGCAGACGGCGGGGAAACACGTGTGTTTATTCAGTAGAGCCACTCTGTCATGGAACTCGTTTTTAGGGTCCTGCCACATGGAAGGTTTTTTTGTTTTCCAGATGGTTCCCAACCAAACCGTGTCCATACACCGGGGAGGAGAGCACAGAGGAAACTCGCACGACGCCGTCTCGTACAGAAGGCAACAGATGGAGACGAGTCAACTTGCCGTACCGCCTGCTCCTGGCGAAACGGGGAACGGCACCGCACCTCGACCCCCACGCGGAGTCTCACAACACGCGCGTGGCGATCCCCCCCACCAACCCTCGCTGTCTCTGCATCATCGCTGGACGACAGGCAGCCACGTGCGGGCCAGAGGGCCGCCCGTCGGACCTCTTGGTGGACAACGCGCGGCACGACCGGGTTATCTCACGGGAGACGCCAGCTCTCTTTCTGGCGAGTGCGGCGTCTCCCCACCCTCCGCCTGGCAGCTCCCATCTCCTTGCTTCAGGTTTCCCAGTGGCAGCATCATGTGCGCGCACACACACGTACACACGTGTACACACATGTACACACGTACCGAAACACGATTCCGCTTGTTTACCCAGGGAAAAAACCTCCCAAAGCTTTAAGACTTTTAAACCAGGAGGGTGCTGCCAACCGTTCGCAGTAGGAGGGGGGGGGGGTATAATATTGCTGCTGTCTGGAATCTAAATTGAATTTGTGGCTAATTGCTCAACATCGGGTAGGGATGTTTCATGGCCAACAGCAGTTGCATTGTTTGAGTGGGGATTTTTTGTTTTGTTTTTAAGCTATGGGAGTAAATCCGAGAACCTCCTGAGCAAGGAGTCGAACCCAGGCCCTTCTCTGTTGTGTGGGGCCACGAGCGCGATCCCCGGGGCCCCCTGACCGTGCAACAACAAAACGACAACCAACCCAAACCGATAAACGCGCGGTGGTGACACAGTGGAATCTGCCTTCTCATTAACTCTGGGCAAACCGGGGCGGCGGAGGTGGCGGCTCTCATCCCAGCGGCCCGGCGCTCTGCGGCCATTTACGGGAAACAAACCGGTCCTCATTTGACGTCACCGGTGATGACGCCAGGGCCCGGCTCGGGAGCGCCGGCACGGCTCCCCGTGCTGTAATTTGCATCTTGCGCTCAGCGAGTCGGCGAGGGAAGGGGGGGGGGAGAACGTCTCCGCTGGTATCGCCGGCGACCCCGTTCGGAGGAACGGGCGTGAGAGTCACCGCGCTCTCAACTCCGGGGTCACCGAATCCGCGAACGTGGTGGGTGGTGGGGGGGGGAACGTAACGAGAGAAGCTGTGAATGAGAAGGTTGATGTCACCACCGGGAGGAGGTAGGGCGGGAGGAGGAGGAGGGGTGTCTAGAACACGTAATCCTCATCCACCATCGCGATGGCCCAGGCAAACTTGTCGCGCTGCGTTTTGTTGTAAATCTTCTCGATCGGAACTCCAAATTTCTTGCACCTGGCGGGGCATGACGGGTGCAGAGAGAGAAGGGGGGGGGGGGCAGGGGGAGGGGGAACACGGAGATCAACAACGACGAGAGGCGCCGCTCGGGCACGGTCACCGCGTGCACGACGGGTCGCTCGGCGTGCACGACGGGTCGCCGCGTTCACGCCGCACCACTTCTCGGCGTTCACGCCGCACCGCTTCTCGGCGTTCACGCCGCACCGCTTCTCGGCGTTCACGCCGCACCACTTCTCGGCGTTCACGCCGCACCACTTCTCGGCGTTCACGCCGCACCGCTTCTCGCGGAGCTTCGCCGACCGCGGCGAGCGCGTCCCGTGGAGGCTCCGGGTGCCGCCGTCATCCGCCTCTCGCGTCCCGCCGCAAAGATTCCTTCTACCCGACAATAAACGTGGCACATGCGCCGCGCCGCCGACGTCGGCAGCGGCGACACGAGCGCGAACAAACTCGCGCTCAACGCGGGCGACGTTTCGGGCGACGGCCCTTTTCCGTAGCGGGGTTAGGGGGAAGGGCCGTTCGCACGCGAACGTCGCCTGGCGGCGCGCACGTGATGCGTGCGTTCACGCAGCTCTCACCGAGGAGCCTCGGTGGCCTCTCACCTGCCGAGGTGGCGGCGCATGGCGCTAGCGCCCTCCCGTGGCCACGCGACTGCCACGCTGGGGCTCCGAGCGCGCGAGCGATTGCAGCGCTTGTTTAAGGAAATTCCTCGCAGGGATTCCCCTTCTCCTCGACTTTGTCAGGAGGATCCTGACAGGTTTTTCACAGTAGGAGGCTGCGTGTGACCCCAATTGAGTAATTCGCAGGTCATTTTTCAGCATTTGGAATTTTTGGCTAATAACAGTCATATTGTCCGGTTTTTTTTTAGCTAATGGGGAGGAAACTCAAGTACCAAGGAAGCAGACCCAAATAGAACAGAGGGGGAGAAAGCACAAACTCCATACACACAAGACACCCGGAGCTGGGAATTGAATCCAGGCCCTTGTCGCTTTGAGACACGCGTGGTACCGCTGCGTCGCCGCCAGGGGCGCTCCTGCAGCGGGTGGAAGTCTCCTGCGGAGGAGGGAGGGTGGAATGTCCCCGTATCGCTCATCGTCTGAACACGCAGGACGTGTCACCTTTGTCAAACATGTGTAGTGACGTATAATGGATCACTACGGCGCCTTGCGCCAGTTACTGATGGATAGGGGAACTGGGAGTGTAGTTGCCCTCTCTGCCAGCAGGGTACGCTATGTCATGGAACGGCCCCCTCGGGGGCATGGTTCTGGTGTATGGCAGAGAGGGGGCATCTGAGGACGTAGTAGCCCGGTTGGCTGGCAAGGGCACGTGACAGGACAGGGTAAGGATGTGGGCCAAAGGTGACAGAAGGGACACGTGGTGTATGGCCCAGAATCTTCTGGGAAGTTCCAGAAGGGGCCGTGGCCGAGGGCAGAGCCAGGCCGCGCTGGGGGAATAAAAGGGAGGTCCCGGGGTCCCATCGGGGCTGTCTGCTGGAATGGAACCCGCCGTGCTGCGTCTTCTCCTCGGTCTCCGGTCTTCGTGCTCGGCATCGTGGGTCAGGCAGTGTGCCGACTGACCTGACCCGTTTATGTAGTTATGCCGTGGTGGTTACCGGTTATGTAGTTACCCCGTGGTGGTTACCGTTTATGTCGTTACCCAGTGGTGGTCGTAGAATAAACGTGTTGCCTCCTGAGTTAATTGTGTCTCTCAAGTGAACCCACTACACATGGAACTAAAAACCTTCGAGAGCCAGAGCTTCCGTCGGGCTGCTACACCTGCTAAAGGTCGAAAGGTCGGTCGCCTTCCTGACCTCTTTTACCGCGACTACCATGGTTTCTGTTCCCATTAACTAAACTCGATGATTCTTCCCCCCCGTCTTTTATCTCATTCACCACACCGTGTTCAACCATTAAACCACCACTCGCTCAATAACCAACCCACGAACTCGCACACCCACCCACCAAACCACTCATCACACTGCAGGTCACAACACTTCTATTTCTGCTTCTTCTTTCTCGCACTACCCCACTTTGGAATTCCCTCCACACATCATCATCTTTTCCCAAGCTCTTACCACGAAAATAACCTCGCTGGCTTTAAGAAACCCATTAACCCTTATCCAATACAGCATTGATAGTGCTGCTTGTTGCTGGCCGCTTGACATTTTGAGCCCCTTGATTTGTGCCGAGCAGCCGTGTTCGTCACGGGAACACGGCAGCGGCGCGTTGCCGCGCATGCCACTTCGCGGAGCCGCCCGCGCCCACTCCCGGGTGAGAGAGGAGATCCGCGGGTGGGGGGGGCCCGATGGGGGCCACCAGCCCCCACCCATGGCCCCCCGTTTAGGGTATTTGGTTCGCGGTTTAAAAATTCCACTTGACAATCCACTTCGTTCATTTTGTTGCCAGGTAGCTTTTGAAAAAGAGCTGCCTAGCTCAGTGGGCCTAACCTGGTAAAATAAAACGTTTACAGTTCGTTTTTAGTTGCCCCCAACCCACCAGGCGACGGAGATGCGAGGGTCCAAGTAGTTGAGCTTCGAGGTGCCGAGCGCAATCTGCTTGTTCTCCTCCTTGTCCGTGACGGCTACCTCCATGTTGGCCAGCTGCTGCTCGATCCGCTCCACGGCTTTCTGCTTCGCCTCCACGATCCTGGGCGGCACGGGGCGGGAGACGGGGCAGGAGGGGGCGGGAGACGGGGCAGGAGGGGGCGGGAGACGGGGCAGGAGGGGGCGGGAGACGGGGCAGGAGGGGGGCGCGGGTCGGGCCATTTACACGACCTTCACATGCCGAGATGCGTTGGTGCACGCACGTGGGGAGTGGTGGCGCAGCAGTTAGCGCACTTCCATTCCTGCTCACGGTCAACATCGATGGACAAAACATTTAATCCGTTCCAGTGTTTCCTGCCCCTAGGTCGACTCGACCTTAAAAAAGCAGCTATGAAGGTCACGTAG